CACACCTATAAGCTCACAATCTGACCATCATAATTTGCATTGAACGGAAAAAGACCAAATGTCCACACCCAAAGACCCCACTCGCCCGAGTGTTGGGACCAAACTGATAACGATATGCCTGACGCATGATGTAAAATTCTGACGGGCTAACGGCCCGTCAAAAAATCTAACGTGCGAAGAAAAAAGAATGTACCTATTCATGTGGTCACAAAAGTCCAAAACCCACGGGCTGCTCTCCCCTGACTTCCAGAGGGCGCAGCCCTTGTCGAGCGGGACGCCTAATACTGTTGTGAGGTTAAGCAGGCATGTGCAGGACGTGACGATTCCTTGGGTGAGCCCAGAACCAGAGCGCCATGTGCCGGCTCTGTATACATGGAAGCCTCCTTGGATGGCGGGGAATGCCCATGATCTGCCCCTGCCTTTCCTTGAGGGCTTACCGCTCCACAGGGGGCTGCCCCAAAGGGGTACTCCGGGGGCAATACCTGCGGAAAAGGAGACAAAGTGGACAACACACAAAACAATGGCCACAGTCACCCTAGAAATAGGCCTGACGTCTTCCTTCGAAGTCGGAGTACAGCTGCCCATGAGGCAGGGAACAGTAAAACGGTTGTACACGCAAAAATCAGGTCCAGGTGAAAGCCAAAAGTCCAAGCGGACGATTAACCTGGACCTTCCACCGAAAATTCACAGCCAGTGAACGATAAAAAAAAAATCCACTTCTTCTGGACTTAGTCTTATTCTAGAACTTGAGTTTTGTGTCCACATTATTTTTTAATAGCTGACTTATTTGTATGCAGACTGTTGACTCCTCACCTCTCAGGCAGCTGCACGCCTTCAAAGGAAATACCCCCTAACTAGTCGTCTTTTACCACATGCTTGTCAGGGAGCACAGAGTCTATTATTCCCCCCCCCCCCCCCTTCCTTAGCCCCCACAATGGGGCACCAGAACCCACAGGGGGAGCTGTGAAATCATCTGGAATGAAAGTAATTTGTCTTCTTCTTTGTTAATTTTGATCTTCACCGGCTGTAAACTCCGGTGGAAATTTCTGTTTGTTTGTCAACCTCTGGACTTAAGGCTTGTTCCTGAACCTGAGTGTTGCTTGCACGTCTGTTTAACAGATTTGACTTATCTGTATGCAGATTGTTGGTTCCTTGCCGCTTAGGCAGATGCACTCTGACTTTGAAGGGTTGCCTACAAAATAATACAGTAAGACCTCATTAAAACATATTCAAAGGGACCAAAAATTGAGTTCATGTTAACCAAATTTGTGCTAACTGGGGAATAAAAATAGTAAAACATCAATGCTGGCACCAACATTATGTTCATGCTAACAAAGCTTCTTCTTATGCTAGTTCATGTTAATGAGGTTTTACTATAATTCCTTTTGACCTATTTAGAGTAGCAATCACACACATGCCTATGATATACTGTAAAGTGAAAAATAACAGCCCTAAAAACACACTTATTGGAAAATTCACAACATTGCATCTAGGTGTCTTTGGCAAGGTGGCAACAATATATATTTCTGCAGTTGAACTTTCTGCTGTCATTCGCCTTTATAGAAAATGTGTAGGCCACGTTTTGATTTATATTGCTTTGTCCACACTTGTTTTTAATCATTTTCTTCATCTTCTTTTTAGCGTTCATTGGCCATAAAACTTTGGTGGAAAGTTCTGGTTGTTTATCCAGTTCTGGACTTGCATCTTGTTCCATAACATGAATTTTGTATGCACTTCCATTTTACAGATCTGGCTTACTTGTATGCAAACATCTGGTTCCTTGTCCCTCAGACAGCTTTTATGACATGCTTGTAAGGGAGGCAGTGGGTCTATTTCCCCCCTCAAAATGGCATCCCGGAACTCATAACGGGGTAATCTTTTTCAAAAATGCAACTGACAGCATTTTAAATGATTCCAAAGAAAAACATGATCTTTTGGTTACAAACTGACCACATCAGACTATCTTGACATCACTCTTTTTTTTCTGAGGGGGGAGGGGAGGGGGGTTGTTTGGTATTGGTTGTTGACATTTTTGCCTTCAAGATTCCTTTTTGAGAGATTAATACTCAGTGACTAAAAGAGTCACTATTCGGATGAACATCCAGAGGACCAAATCCAAGAACCCTGTTCAACCATAAAACACAGTATTTTATTACACCTGACAGTTACGAAGTCTTCAAGTCTCCATCAGAGATGGTTGTTCAAATAGAAGTTGGGATCAGATATTCTTCTTTATTGCTTCTCTTTTGAGGGTAGCAATGGTAGTTCCATTGTAGATATTGTCGTTTGGGTATGAAGAGTTAGGTTTTCACACATTCTTGGCCACAACACATAAGTCAGGGTGGCCAATTTCTTTCTTTGTGCATCTCTAAGCTAAATATTGTAGTGAACTAAATATTGTAGTAAACTAAATATTGTAGTAAACTAAATATTGTAGTAAACTAAATATTGTAGTGAGCTACATGGCAGTGATCTAGCCTTGATAGTGAGCTAAATATTGTAGTGATCTAGATAATGTAGTGATCTAGATAATGTAGTGATCTAGATATTGTAGTGATCTAGATAATGTAGTGATCTAGATATTGTAGTGATCTAGATAATGTAGTGATCTAGATATTGTAGTGATCTAGATAATGTAGTGATCTAGATAATGTAGTGATCTAGATATTGTAGTGATCTAGATAATGTAGTGATCTAGATAATGTAGTGATCTAGATATTGTAGTGATCTAGATAATGTAGTGATCTAGATATTGTAGTGATCTAGATAATGTAGTGATCTAGATAATGTAGTGATCTAGATATTGTAGTGATCTAGATATTGTAGTGATCTAGATATTGTAGTGTTCTAGATATTGTAGTGATCTAGCTATTATATTGAGCTAAATATTGTAGTGATCTAGATATTGTAGTGATCTAGATAATGTAGTGATCTAGATATTGTAGTGTTCTAGATATTGTAGTGATCTAGATATTGTAGTGTTCTAGATATTGTAGTGTTCTAGATATTGTAGTGATCTAGATAATGTAGTGATCTAGATATTGTAGTGTTCTAGATATTGTAGTGTTCTAGATATTGTAGTGTTCTAGATATTGTAGTGATCTAGATAATGTAGTGATCTAGATATTGTAGTGTTCTAGATATTGTAGTGATCTAGATATTGTAGTGATCTAGATATTGTAGTGTTCTAGATATTGTAGTGATCTAGCTATTATATTGAGCTAAATGGCAGGGATTTAGCCTTTGCAATTCTTCTTCTTCTTCTTCTTATTATTCTTCTTCTTCCAACACTCTGCATACAAATAAGAAAGATCTGTAAAACAGATGCACATGCAAAACACAGGTTTAAAGCCAAAGTTAAGAAATGGACAAACAACCAGGTCTTTCTGTTTACAGCCAGTAATCACAAACAATAGATGGCCAAACCATCTCATCTGTTGCTCTTTAATGAACTGTATAATTGTTTTCAGTCCTAGCCTTCTTCTAATTTCTTTATGTTTAAATCTCTTCTTGTTCCTCTATCACATTATCCAAGACATGTCATCTCTGTTGCTATGATTATGCATTCATTAACTGTATTCAGGGTAAATTTTTACCAGAGGTAGCCCAGAGTTGACCATAAAATAGTTCTTTTTAGATTTGCCTTGGTAGACAGAGGTATGTATCAGAGCTGATATTGGTCATCTCAGTGCCTGATAAAGTTATCTTTACTTCTTACTTACTTAGTTGCTCCTCATCTACCTTGGGGTGTAGAGGTTTGCCATCTATCGCCAGACATATCTGTAAGCAGTTTTCTTCCTGGCTTTGTTCCATTCCAGTCTTCTGTCATTGACTGTCGGATATTGTCATCCCAGCAGACCCTGGAGGTCTGATTCCCTTGTTGTTAGCCTCCCATGCCTGCCATGTTTGCATATTTTCTTTCATTCTGCATACATGTCCAATCCATCATAACTATGACTGATCCACTCAGGTTTGTAAGGATTGGGTATCAAGATCTTGTAAAGTTGTCATTATTAAAACAAATCATTTCAGAAAGGACTGTACCTACATGAGATCGGGCATGCCATTGGACTGGTACATGAGCACCAGCTGCCTGACCGTGACAACTACATCAGTATCCAGTACCAGAATGTGGCACCTCATATGCGGATCTGGTTCAACAAGTATGCTTCAGCCGAGGTCAACCAGATGATTGTGCCCTACGAGTATTCATCTGTGATGCATTACGGAATTACTGTAAGTACATACTGACATGAAAGCATGTGTCTTCCCTGCAGCAACTGAAGGATATCTTCTTCTTCTTCTTCGCATTCACCGACTGCAAACTCTGGCAGAAAGTTATAGTTGTTCGTCCATTTCTGGACTTTAGTCCTGTTCCAGAACCTGAGTGTTGCTTGTACAACCAGTTCAACGGTCTGACTCATTTGCATGCAGACTGTTGGTTCCTTGCCTCTCAGGCAGATGTACTCCAGCTTCGAAGGAAGCTCCCAGTTTGTTGACTCTTATGACATGCTTTTGGGCAGGCAGTTGGTCTATTCTTGTTTACCCCATGATAGGGCCCCAGAACCCACATGGGGGACTTAAGGATATGAGTTGTGGACTATTTCCTAGTCCTTAAGGAAAAAAAATTTGAGTCTTTTGAGCTAAAATGCTATAGAAACATTCTCAGAATACCATGAACAAAGAAGAAAAACAAAATACTGACATCCTAAAAGATTTTAATATCAAGGAAGATTTGTTAGTCAACAACTTGTCTCAGAAGCTTAACTATTTTGGCCATATCAAGCGCCACAGCTTGGAAAAATAATGGCTGAAAGCATGGTATCAGGCAGGAGAGGCAGGGGCCAAATAGCATGAAGATTCATCATCATCATCATCAACCTTTATGTGCTGTTAGACATCACATAGGGCTCACATTCAATTCCTCCTATTTCACTCTTTTGCATGCAACTTTCTCACTTTCTGACATGGAGTTCAGCCCAAAATTTTTTGCCTCTCATAGTAATGTTCTTATTCATATTTCGGTTGGATGTCCTCTTTTTCGCAGACTCTTTCCCATTTCAACCTGTTTTTTAATTCTTTGCTCATTCTGTCTCAGAGAGTGCCCAATATATCTCCACCTTCTTTGTCTTATTGCAGTTGCATGAAGATTGGTAAGGATATAAGTGACTCCTTGGATATGAAAGTGCATCAGGCTGGAGAGCTGCCAAGAGACCTAGTTTCTTTTCGGCAGACCGTGATGAGAGCGACATTCTGCTATAAACCTGCAACATGATGATGACATACTGATAGATAAATTGCTCTCACTTAGTTCATACTCTGGAATTAATAAAGTAACAGAAAATATATTTATACTCCAGAATTAAATGTTGACAAAAAACTAAGACACCATCAACTAAACAAACTAGAAACATTAACTTTTACAAATTTCTGCAGCTCCTCAAAGACCAAACTGTAATTTCTAAATCTTTTCATCATTTTGTTTGATACATTTGTTGTTTTCCATATAACTTCTGCATGTTTTATTTGTTTTTGGTTTCTGAAAAGCAGACAACAAACTGAGACACCATCTACTATTCAAACTAGAAACATAAGCCTTTAGCAGATTTCTGCTCCTCTTCAGAGAACAACTGTAATGTCTAAATCTATTTTTTTTTAATATTTTATAAATTTTTTGTTTTCCATGTTCTGTGTATTTTTCAGGCATTTTCATATGATGGGAAAGCACAGACAATCCGTGCCCATGACAAGGCCAAGGAGGAGACGATTGGCAAAGTTTATCTCAAAGAACTGGCATACACAGATGTTCATATTGTTAATTTGATGTATAACTGTTCAGGCAAGTATGGAGAAAATGCATAGTAGTAGCAGTAGTAATTTAATCAGAGATATTCTGTTCTGCCCTTCTAGGTTATACTTGGGATGTATAGAGTTTTGTGCTAGCAGATTCATTTGTTCATTCATTATTCTCTTGTGCCATTACATGTCACATAGGGCTCGCAGTCTATTTATCTATTCCATTCTATCCTCTGCAATCAGTTGAGTATGATAGATGGAATCCAGAATATCATAGATGGAATCCAGAATATCATAGATGGGATCCAGAATATCATAGATGGAATCCAGAATATCATAGATGGAATCCAGAATATCATAGATGGAATCCAGAATATCATAGATGGAATCATAGATGGAATCCAGAATATCATAGATGGAATCCAGAATATCATAGATGGGATCCAGTCGAGAACCTTGGTTTTCTCTCATCAACAATCACCTTAGGGTTTCCAATGGGGGTATCATTTCCTCAATCTCTCTATTTCCCTTTTTAGTGCCTGTTTGGTGAAATTCTATTTTTCTTCCCTGAATATGTCCAGTATAGGTTTTTGCAGATATTGGATATTTATGTTTATCTAGCACTCTTGGTTATTTAATAAATAATATCGCATAGATTTCTTCGTCTTCTTCTTTTTCTTTTTCTTCTTCTTCTTCTTCTACTTCTGCATTCATCAGAAAATGTAATTGTGTTGCACCCATTTACAGCATGGCTGTGGTATTTGTGCTTTTTCACTGATACATCTGACTTCTGCAGGCATTTTTTGACTGTGTAAGCCTTTCCAGTTGCATAAATTTTATAAGTGCTACTTTAAAAATAATTGGGACATTCCCATTATTTATCCATCAATGAGTATTTTAAACCTAATTGATTATTATTATTTATTATACCCTATGAAGCAATTTGTTTTTGCTGGTCCAGTATTAGACAGAAGTGATGTTATCAATGCCATGCGCTGCACTTACTTGTACCGAGGAGCACACCAAAGGACATGACTCCGTATCCCTGTCTAGACTGATGGTCATGGGGGTGCAGCCTGAAGCTGCAAGAAATGAACATTTCATTAAGGAGACAAGACTTTTCATTAACCAACACAGAACAGGCGTCATCAGTCGTTTTACACTTGTGAAGCTTTTGAGGAGGAGATCGGAGCACCTATGGTTCTGTCCGGAGTGCTGTGATGATAATCCCTTCTAATCATTAATCACTAAGCAATTTTTTCCCCAGCAATAAATGCATAGGAGACAGTATAAACAAATGGCAAGAACATAGATTGTACATTCACATGCAGCCCTTATGATGCGTTTCTACCTTGAAATGGTCAGAGAGATTTGTGTGTTCCAATGACCCAAGAGTGATTTTGATGGTAGCTACTGGTTAGGTCTCTCATATCAAAGAGGTAAAGGGATAGGAACAAAATTAAGAGCGATACAAACCTATGGCCTTGTAGCTAGACTAAGAACAGTCTAATACGCGAATGCAAACCTGAAATACTGTTTAATCTACACACTAGTTAATCTCAATGGCTGTTCTAGCACCAGCATGTACAGTTAATCTCATTTACTGTTCTATGCACCAAAATGTACAGTGGATCTCAATAGCCAGCCTGTGCACCAGCATGTACAGTTAATCTCTTTAGTCATTGTACACACCACCATGTACAATTAATCTCTTTAGTCTTTATATACACCAGCATGTACAGTTAATCTCTTTAGTCATTCTATACACCAGCATGTACAGTTAATCTCTTTAGTCATTCTACACACCAGCATGTACAGTTAATCTCTTTAGTCTTTCTACACACAAGCATGTACAGTTAATCTCTTTAGTCTTTCTACACACCAGCATGTACAGTTAATCTCTTTAGTCATTCTACACACCAGCATGTACAGTTAATCTCTTTAGTCTTTCTACACACCAGCATGTACAGTTAATCTCTTTAGTCTTTCTACACACCAGCATGTGCAGTTAATCTCTTTAGTCTTTCTACACACAAGCATGTACAGATAATCTCTTTAGTCTTTCTACACACAAGCATGTACAGATAATCTCTTTAGTAATTCTACACACCAGCATGTACAGTTAATCTCTTTAGTCTTTCTACACACAAGCATGTACAGTTAATCTCTTTAGTAATTCTACACACCAGCATGTACAGTTAATCTCTTTAGTCTTTCTACACACCAGCATGTACAGTTAATCTCTTTAGTCTTTCTACACACCAGCAGGTACAGTTAATCTCTTTAGTCTTTCTACACACCAGCATGTACAGTTAATCTCTTTAGTCTTTCTACACACCAGCATGTACAGTTAATCTCTTTAGTCTTTCTACACACCAGCAGGTACAGTTAATCTCTTTAGTCTTTTTACACACCAGCATGTACAGTTAATCTCTTTAGTCTTTCTACACACCAGCATGTACAGTTAATCTCTTTAGTCTTTCTACACACCAGCATGTACAGGTAATCTCTTTAGTCATTGTACACACCACCATATACAATTAATCTCTTTAGTCTTTCTATACACTAGCATGATTATTACAGATACAACATTTATACATCTGATGTTGTAAATAGTAAAAGTAAAGGTCCCTTTTCTACGCCTTTAGGTGTATTGGGACTATAGGGCTAGACCTATATTTTTATAGACCAATTGGCACTTGGTAGGTCATGTGGTCAGCATCATGCTGACCACCTTTACTTCCCAGGACTGCACCTGGTATCCACTCACGGCTGAGTCGACCTGGGAGCCACGACCTTCTGATCTGCAGGTGGGCATCTAGCTGCTAATGCCCTGGCTACTCCCAGACAGCAGCATAGCATGTAGAATTAATCTCACTGGCCATTCTAGGCACCAGCATGTACACTCAATCTCATTTCTCAACCCGGAGGCTACGTAGTCTTGAGGCATGGTGTCCGCCTCATGTGCTAGAGGTCCATGGCTCAGGCCCCGGTGAAGGCTGGGATTTTTTCAAGTGGACCTCTAGTAATTTCCCCTGGTCTCTGGGTAGTGAAATCGGATACACGTGTGTATTGTTGCACATGGCAAAAATCTCTTGGCAGTTGCAAATCGAAAGGAGTAGCCTAACAGCGCTGCACGGGCAAAATTTGAAGTTAAAAATCTACCCAAAGTTATTTCAGGATCCTCGCTGCTGCTACAGAGCCCATGCACTCACTGCACTGAGCCACTTCCGACTCAGGCTTGAGTTAGAAGTAGAACGGTGCACTTATCGGTTACTATCCTTGTGCCATGATGTTGATCCATTGTTCAAGCTTCAAACTTCATCTCTCAACTAGGCACCTTTACATACAATTAATCTCATTGATAGTTCTGCACTCTAGCCTATAAACGTTTGTATACCTTTGCAGGTCACTGTCCTAACCAGAACCAGTGCGGACCCGAGGGTTACCTGGACCAGAACTGCAACTGTGTCTGTCAAGATGGCAGCAGCGACTGTGATACCACCAAGACAGCATCAGATAGTATGGAAACATTAATGGATAAGTGGATAGAAATGGTGACAGCATGTTAGATGATACATGTGTTATCCTGAGAAACACACAATTTAGGCAGAAATATAATTGTACTTACTTCTTCTTCTTCTTCGTTCACCGGCTGTGAATTCCGGCGGAAGGTCCCGGTTAATTGTCTGCTTGAACTTTTGGCTTTCACCAGGACCTGAGTTTTGTGTGTACAACCGTTTTACTGGCTTTTACCGTTCCCTGCCTCACGGGCAGATGTACTCCGACTTCGAGGGAAGACATCAGTCCTATTTCTAGTATGACTGTGGCCATTGTTTTGTTTGGGTCGAGATGTTACCTTATGTGTGTGGTGACCTCTTTGTCCCTTTCTCCACAGGTGTTGCCCCCGGAGTACCCCCTTTGGGGCAGCCCTGTGTGGAACAGTTAGCCCTCAAAGGAAGGCAGGGGCAGATCATGGGCATTCCCCGCCGTCCAAGGAGGCTTCCATAAAAGCAGAGCCGATACATAACGCTCTGGTTCTGGGCTCACCCAAGGAATTGTCACATCCTGCACATGCCTGCTTAACCTCACAACCGTATTAGGCTTCCCGCTCGACACGGGCTACACCCTCCGAAGATCAGCGGGGAGCAGCCCGTGGGTTCTGGACTTAGTGACCACACAAATAGGTACATTCTTCTTCATTGCACGTTAGACACCTTTAACGTTGTTTCAACTGTGCCCTTAGCACGACAGTATGGGAGACGCATGCTTCACCTGTTTGGTCCCAACACTCAGGCGAGTGGGGCCAGTGTATACGGAAATTTTGACTTTTTTTTTAATCGGTACGAGTTATGATGATCGGACTTTGAGCTTGCTTGTGTGCCGTAGGATCTGACTGTGTTGGACATTTTTACCTAGCCAGCAGATGAAAGATGTTGTTGTGTACCTCAGCATGGTGATGAAGACGCTGAGGATTGACCGAGGATTTTACTTAGGTAGAATCTGACTGTGAGAAACCACCCACAAGAGATGTTACTCATCTTGGCTGCGGGTAAATCTCTTGGTCAAGGGTTGAGTCTCAGCAGCACAGTTTTCCATTTGCTCCAGAATTTTAACAGAGAATTGTCATTTGGTGGTACATTTGCCAAGCAGAATTTACTCATATACCAAATGAGTTTTGATAGACTTTTCACTTATGCGTTTGGGGGCAGGCTGATGAGGACCAGAAAGGACACTACACCTCTGGGGGCCGCCAGCTCCGAGATCCCCTGCCAACTCTGTTAATGCTCATTTGAGACATTATCCATGGCGCACGACGGGGACTTGCAGCAGGAGTCTTGCATGAGGTTCCATAAAACCACAACAGTGAAGGACTGGTGCCCTAGTGAGGTACGGAGTATCTCCTTATACACATCACATCAGACTTAACTTTCCCTCACGCCTGTGACCTAAATCACCGCACCACATTATTGTACTTAAAATACAGAAGTAACATGGACCACATTACCCAGCAAGTGTTGAATGATCTATAAATAAAGAAGTAACATGGACCACATTACCCAGCAAGTGTTGAATGATCTATAAATAAAGAAGTAACATGGACCACATTACCCAGCAAGTGTTGAATGATCTATAAATAAAGAAGTAACATGGACCACATTACCCAGCAAGTGTTGAATGATCTATAAATAAAGAAGTAACATGGACCACATTACCCAGCAAGTGTTGAATGATCTATAAATAAAGAAGTAACATGGACCACATTACCCAGCAAGTGTTGAATGATCTATAAATAAAGAAGTAACATGGACCACATTACCCAGCAAGTGTTGAATGATCTATAAATAAAGAAGTAACATGGACCACATTACCCAGCAAGTGTTGAATGATCTATAAATAAAGAAGTAACATGGACCACATTACCCAGCAAGTGTTGAATGATCTATAAATAAAGAAGTAACATGGACCACATATTGTAAGATTAACCTTGCAGTGCCTAGACAATTGTACCAAATATGAACTGCCAGCACTGCAAGGGTTATTTGTTTTTGGGACTAGCATACAACACCACAACATTTAGCATGAGAATGGAGGTGGAGGCAGTAACTGCAGCTCTCTTGTGGCTGGAGAACAAGATGCATACACATGTCGTAATTGTAACAGACTCTGAAAGCATGCTAAGAAAGGTGAAGACAGGGATGCTTCGAGCAGAGTGGCAAGCTTCAGTGGAAAGGTCACGGGTAGTGAGCATACTTTGGATTTTCTCTCCAAGCCATGCTGGCATGGTAGGTAAAAAACAGGCAGACAGATTGGCTGGATCTGCACCACTAGGTAGTGAATTGATACATGATAAGGCAGATGTGGTCAAGGCCCCGTGGGAACAAGCAACGGAATCAGCAGAGAAAGAAGATTATTATGGCCTGGAGAGAATGAGGCACCTGGGTGTAACCAGAGGGTCTGGCCGGCTCACTACACTCAGAGGAAAGGCAAGACGGACATATAACCAGATTGTGACCATTACCATCAGTATTGGAACTCTGCGTTGGCTGCTGAAGATAAGGAGGGAGTATGTATGGGAATGCCCCGAGTGCTGTGATGTCAATTCTTGACTCAACTCAATGTGTTTTTGGGAGTCAAATCTTGTAGTGCCAGCCTAAAAAGGAGCAATCTTGTAGTGCCAGCCTAAAAAGAGCAATCTTGTAGTGTCAGCCTAAAATGGAGCAATCTTGTAGTGTCAGACTTAAAAAAGCCATCTTGTAGTGTCAGCCTTAAAAAGGCAATCTTGTAGTGTCAGCATTAAAAGAGCAATCTTGTAGTTTCAGACTAACAAGATCAATCTTGTAGTGTCAGCCTTAAAAGAGCAATCTTGAAGTGCCAGACTAACAAGAACAATCTTGTAGTGTCAGCCTTAAAAGAGCAATCTTGAAGTGCCAGACTAACAAGATCAATCTTGTAGTGCCAGACTAACAAGAGCAATCATGTAGTGTCAGCCTTAAAAGAGCAATCTTGTGTCAGCCTTAAAAGAGCAATCTTGTAGTGTCAGCCTTAAAAGAGCAATCTTGTGTCAGCCTTAAAAGAGCAATCTTGTAGTGTCAGCCTTAAAAGAGCAATCTTGTAGTTTCAGACTAACAAGATCAATCTTGTAGTGTCAGCCTTAAAAGAGCAATCTTGTAGTGCCAGACTAACAAGAGCAATCTTGTAGTGTCAGCCTTAAAAGAGCAATCTTGAAGTGCCAGACTAACAAGAGCAATCTTGTAGTGCCAGCTTTAAAAGAACAATTTTGTAGTGCCAGCCCTGTAAGATCAGTCTTGTAATGCCAACTTTATGTTCTAGAAACAAAGGTGCCAGTACTCACTGTAAAGTGTCTAAACAGTTGCTGGTACTCACTGTAAAGTGTCTAAACAGTTGCTGGTACTCACTGTAAAGTGTCTAAACAATTGCTGGTACTCACTGCAAAGTGTCTAAACAATTGCTGGTACTCACTGTAAAGTATCTAAAGAGTTGCTGGTACTCACTGTAAAGTGTCTAAACAGGTGCTAGTACACACTGTGAAGTGTCTAAACAGTTGCTGGCACTCACTGTAAAGTGTCCAAACAGTTGCTGGTACTCACTGTAAAGTGTCTAAACAATTGCTGGTACTCACTGTAAAGTGTCTAAACAGTTGCTGGTACTCACTGTAAAGTGTCTAAACAGTTGCTGGTACTCACTGCAAAGTGTCTAAACAATTGCTGGTACTCATTGCAAAGTGTCTAGCACACATGCTGAAAAAAAATGATTCCCTAAACAAAGTGCTAGTACTGCTTACAATTGGGTAACACACAAAAAACCACACACACACACACAAAAGACTTTGGTGTCAGCATTGACACATAGTACCAACCCTGTGGTCTTGTGCTTCCTACAGAAACTTGTGTAAACATCTATGACAGCTGGGCCTGCTACATCTGGGCCAACCAGGGCGAGTGTGAGAGGAACCCACTGTACATGAAGCAGCAGTGTGCTAAAGCATGTCAGGTCTGTGAAGCTACAGAAACCACTAAAGGTATGGATGCTAGTGAAGTTTTATATACTGGATTTCTACAAAAGTAAACTATCACAGCTGGGTAGAATATACAATTCAAAGCGATCTCAGTGAAGCCTGTAGGTCAATTCTAAGCGGAGATATTAAGAGTAAAGTGGTGGATACCACACAAAAAGTAAAGGTGGGTCCTGTGGCTTAGGTATTACGAGTCCGACACGTAATTCCACTGAACCACAATTGAAACCCACTGCTACTTGCGTGGATTTTTTAAATTATATGGGGCGTCTCTTACATAAGATTACTAATTTAATAAAGATTTTAAGTTAATTACTTGAAAAAAAATTCAGAAAATACTGTCATGATGGGTGTGATGACCAAAGCAGACATATAGGAAACGTTTTAAATCAGATCAGATTATGAAATAAAATCATAAATCAACTGCAACTAAATTACTAGCATGTTATGATTTATTTAATTATAAAGTAGAAGTGGGTAAAATGTCCGTCTGGTGCAGGCATGTTGGATTTGAAGCAAAAATAGTGATGCCACTATCTTTTTTAACCCATTCTATAAGGAAATCCTTGTGAAATTTCCTAAATTTGTGTAAAAACGAATGCAGAATTAAAACAAAAAAAGCACAACAAATATTCTTAATTTGGCTAATTTAGATTATTTGTTCGAACTTACTTACCTGCTCACAGCTAAAAATAATAAAAATCAGTTTATCGTTAGCGCACCAAAACCATGTTATGTCACAGCCTGGCATCTCTATAATAACTCCTAATAATTTTCTCGATATGATTTTTCCTGTAAAGAGAATGAAAAAAATAGTTTCTCAATAAGGGTCAATGCAGCCTTGTTTTCAGGGTTGAAATGTGTCTATTGTGCACCTGAAAAATAGATTGGCGTCTAATAACTTCCTCTTTGGGTCCATTAGCATGGCTACTAAAAGTGACACATTATAATCATATTCATCATATGTTATCAACATCACAGTCATTATTGTTATAGTTATCATTATCAACACAGTGATCTCTGTCACAGTTTATCTGATCATCACCATAGTGATCACTGTCATAGTTTGTCTCATCATCACCATAGTGATCATTATCATAGTTTGTCTCATCTCCATTATAGTGATCCCTCATATTTTTACAGACCAGTCGATACTTGGTGGGTGAGGAGGTCAACATCTGAGGATAAAAGCCAATCATAGGACTATCTTAACTTTCCGTATATTTTAGGAATTTAAATTTTATAAAATGTTCAAACCTTCAGGTAAAAATCCCAAGTGATGGGGAAAAAAACTGTACTTAGCCAGTTAGCTATCTCATTTGAACTCATGACATGTATGTTCTTATTGTATTACATTATATTAGGAATTGTAATGTTTTACTCCAATCACAGATGTTGACAATAATTTTATCCTGTGGCCTTGGCAGTGGTTTCCCATGTTTGCAAACATGCTGCCCAAAGAGTGGACAATGTTAGGTAACTCTTGCTGAGTCTGTTGTTTGTCTGCATTGTCAGATTGTGGTCTGTATTTTGATAGTTTCAAGTTTGTGTTTTTACTCTTATGTTGTGTCTGTAGACAACATTTGAACTGTTGTTTAATAGTTTGTTGATGTCTTTTTGCTGTTACATCTTGTTTGCACTAACAGCTCATCATATTTTGAACTGTTTGATAGTTTATTGTTTGTGTTTTTGCTATTACCTTGTACTTGTACTAACAGCTGTTCATATTTTGAACTGTTGTTTGATAGTTTATTGTTTCTGTTTTTGCAATCATATTGTGTGTTTACTAACAGCTCATGTTTTTTTGCGGGCTGTTGTTTGTGAATCTATTGTTTGTATTTTTATTATTACATTGTGTTTGTACTTGATATTAATAAAGTTCATCTGCAATTTTCAGTGTTAACAACAACAGATGTATAATTGTTGTATTTGTAATAATAATTGTTTGAAAGCTTAATTATTTATGTATAAAACTGCATGCTTTCCATTGCTATTGGGCTATGAAGGGGATATGTTTTCATTTAGAGAAGTCTGCTGGACTGTTGGCGTTCACATTTATTTGTCCATTTCTTCAGCAGTATTTAAATATGGAATTACTGAGACAGAAAAGAAGTTGGGAGGGAACCAGTACTAAACTACATCAAGGGATAACAGATCGAAGGATTCAGACCTGTGTCAATACTACTGCCAGATAGTGCACTACAGAGAGCCCTGTCACTTGGACATAATGGAAACAAATGTAGAATCCAATCACCTAAGTGATGGATAGATGGAATATCCAAGGTTGTAAATGGAAACATCTATGTAGTATATACGAAGACTGGCACTCAAGAAGAAGACTGAGACCTTTACTGAAACAAATTGTCTGCTTGCAGGTGGTTGCAAGGATGTCTATGAACAGACCAAGTGCCAGGTGTGGAAGGAGAGAGGAGACTGTATCACAAACGAGATTTGGATGAACCACAACTGTAAAGCCACATGTAACCTGTGTGGTGGCATGGGCATTAGGGCAGAAGGTAATTGTTTGTTTGTTCTTAATGTTAAAGATCTTATCATTACACAAATTTGTTTCTTCTTATTGTTAAAGATCTTATCATTACATGTATTTGTTTTTTCTTCTTGTTAAAGATCTTATCATTTCACGTATTTGTTTTTTCTTCTTGTTAAAGATCTTATCATTACACGTATTTGTTTTTTCTTTTTGTTATAGATCTTATCATTACACAAATTTGTTTTTTCTTCTTGTTAAAGATCTTATCATTGCACGTATTTGATTTTTCTTCTTGCTAAAGATCTTATCATTACATATATTTGTTTTTTCTTCTTGTTAAAGATCTTATCATTACACGTATTTGTTTTTTCTTCTTGTTAAAGATCTTATCATCACACGTATTTGTTTTTTCTTCTTGTTAAAGATCTTATCATTACACGTATTTGTTTTTTCTTCTTGTTAAAGATCTTATCATTACACGTATTTGTTTCTTCTTCTTGTTAAAGATCTTATCATTACACGTATTTGTTTTTTCTTCTTGTTAAAGATCTTATCATTATACGTATTTTTTTTTTCTTTTTGTTAAATATCTTATCATTACACGTATTTGTTTTTTTCTTCTTGTTAAAGATCTTATCATTACACGTATTTGTTTCTTCTTATTGTTAAAGATCTTATCATTACACATATTTGTTTCTTCTTCTTGTTAAAGATCTTATCATTACACATGTTTGTTGATGTTTGGATTTATTCAATGGGTTAACATCATTGTAAACAGGTGTAACCCATAAGTGCTCCGTTCTTCTTCTAACTCAAGCCTGAGTCTGAAGAATCTCAGCGCAGTGCACCAGCGAGGATCCTGAATACTTTGAGTAAATTTTTAACTCCAAATTTTGCCCGGGCAGTGCCGCTAGGCTACTTTTTTCGATTTCCAGCCGCCAAAAGATTTTTTACATGCGCAACAATAACACACGGGCGTCCATTCTTACTACCTAGAGACCAGGGAAAATGACTAGTAGTCCAAGTGAAAAACTCCCAGCCTTCACATGGGCTTGAACCCAGGACCTCTAGCACTCAAGGCGGACACCATGCCACGAGACCACTTGGCCCCTTATCATTACACATGCATCTCTTAAGGGCAGATGGAAAATCTATTAAAGAAGTTGAATGTGTTGAATAGCTCAAGAGAGTATCATTTTATGGGACAGAGAATAGTCTATGCCAGTTGTTCCTAATTAGATAAGACCCGTGACCCCTCTTATCTTTAAAGGTCATCTATATTTTTGTATCCTATAAAAAAAAAGGGTAAATGTATATTAGATTCAGGACAAATTTAACAGTTTATATCCCTATATTGGTTTTAGCACCCAGTTTTTTTTTAAAGGGGGTGGGGATAGATAAACTTACAGCTCCTTAATAAATATGTGGTAACAAATGAAATAATTAAATAATCAATGATTAGCTGAAATAGGATGTGTTGGGTCAAAAGATGCAAATATTACAGCCTCCCTGTAAACCACAACATAATGTGCCAGCTGCCTTTAAGGAGTGTATGTAGGAGAAAAAGAAAAAGATTAGTTTATACAAGAATCTTTTTCCAGGCCTCCAGGTATACTGAACATATAGTCCTAGAATAATATTTTGTAGACCAATCATAAGTTGGTGGGTGATGGGGTCAGCATTATGTCAGCCACCTCTACTTCCCCAGACCACCTGGTACTTATTTATGACTGGGGTGACCTGGGAGCCAAGGTAATATTTAAAGGAAAGAACAAACACTCCATTCAGGCTTGTACCCGCAACTTTTAGATCTACAGATGGACAGTGGCTCTCTTATCTTCATATAGCAGGTCCCTTGCAGAACGTCGCTCTCATCACGGTCTGACTGAAAGAAACTCGGTCTCTCAACAGCTCTCCCGCCTCATGTACCTTTATACTCAAGGAGTCACTTATATCCTGTGCCCATCTTCGTGTCGGTCGGCCCCTGCCCCTCCTTCCTGGTACCATGCCTTCTGCTATTTTTTTTTCCAATCCGTCCTGGCGCTTGAGATTACTAAAATATTTCAGTTTTCGAGACAGGATGCTGTTTATTAGCCAATCTTCCTTGATGTTCAGATCTTTTAAGATGTCAGTATTTAACCTCTTTTTCATCCAAGAGATTTTTAGAATCTTTCTATAGCATTTCAGCTCAAAAGCCCCTATTTTCTTTCTTAAGGACTGGGAGATAGTCCACAACTCACATTCGTATGTTGCTACAGGGAAGATGCATGCTCTCAAAATTATAATTTTGCTCTCCTTGCTGGTGCTTAACCATAGACTTTTAATTCTTCTTCTTCTTTCGTTCGCATGAAATAAATTGTCTATATCTGCAAAGCTGTCTCTAGTATGAATTTCACTGTCTTTTGTAATTCACTAAGCGGCCCGTAAAGTTTGACTTCCACAAGTGTCTCTTTTGGCCAAAGGTTTTGCCTGAAAGCGTTGAATCTGGGACAGTCTTGAAGGATGTGATCTGTTGTTTCAGGTGCCAGTCCACAAGTACACATGGCTGATTGGCCAATCTTAAATTTGTTGTACATGTGGGAGCGAAGTCGATTGTGCCCTGTTCTAAGGCGAAGGATAATGACTTGCTCTGGTCTGTCCATAATATGGTAATCATCTTGTGCCAGTTTCGGTGGCATTCTGATTGATTTGATCATTCTCTTCTTCTGTTGATAAGAGAGACTTTTAATGCTGTTTAATCTTTGCATTGCTATGGCCATCCTTCTTTAATTTCTGTCAAACAGTCTCCAGGGCTATTTATTATAGAGTCTAGATATTCAAAGTTTGTGACGTTTTCAATTTCTCCATCATTTATTGTTATTTTTTAATGACAGCCAGTTTTATCTGTAGACATTATTTTCATGTTCTTTATATTCAAGAACAGATTTTGATCTTCACTGTGCTTTTTGGGCAGACAATATTAAATTTTCTATTCCCTTTATGCTGTTCAAAAAGGAGACTGTGTCATCTAAAGTTGCCACCAATTTTGAGCGGATCATAACTGTCACAAGTCTGGTCATTTTTGATTATTTCTCATTTAATTTTCTGCTCCCTTATACTAAGTATCATTTACTTTTTCCTCATAGCTTAAAGTTTCATGACATGATAACCATCACTGAAATCTGCTCTCTTCCACACTGACAGTCAACTGTGAAAACGTTTATGATGATAACAGAAAGTGTGATGACTGGGCCAGGGACGGGGAGTGTGCAGTCAATGCTAAGTGGATGCAAGCCAAGTGTAGGAAGTCCTGTGCCATGTGTGATCAAGAGGTAACAGACAGTGATGAGGAAGATGCAAAAGATGATGAAGACAACAGTGAGTGGAAAATCTATAAACTGCATATAATTTATTTAAATAATTCCTTGTGTGGGTTCCAGGGTCAAATTGGGGGGATGGGGGGGGGGGGGAAGAACAATAACAGATCCAGTGCCTCCCTAACAAACATGTCAAAAGAGTCAGCTAATTAGGGGGTTCCTTTGAAGTGCATCTGCTTGAGGGGCAAGGAATCAACAAACTGCATACAAATGTGCCAGATTTGTAAAATGGATGAGCATGCAGAACTCAAGTTCTGGAACAAGACTGAAGTCCAGAAGTGGACGAACAACCAAAACTTTCCACCAAAGTTTTCAGCCAATGAATGTGAAGAAGAAGAAAAAGAAGAAGAAGAAAAAAGAAGAAGAAAAAGAAGAAGAAGAAGAAGAAGAAGAAGAAGTAGAAGAAGAAATAGAAGATTTCATTTATTTGTTGTTTTCGCCAAATCTATAAAGTTCATTACGACCTTTGGATGTCATCAAAATTGTTAAAGAAGCGTCCTTACAATCGTAACTTAAATTTGGGGAATAGAAAATAATCGCAGGGAGACAAATCTAGAGAATAGGGTGGAAGGCTGAGAACACACACCTGTTTTGGGGCAAAAAATTCTTGTTTTGATGATGCCTCTTGGGTACTCAACCCGCTGATGTGTTGAGTCATCAGACAATGAATGTGGTACAAACCGGCAAGCAACTTTTTTCTTGCCAAAATCTTGCACAAAAATGTTAAGAATGTTCTCTCTATTAACACCAGATTCATCTACCATCATCCTCACAGTAAAACAATGATCTTCTTATATCCGTTCTCTGACTTTTGCAATGAGTTCATCATTACAAACATAAATTCATATCTAGATGCATTAGTAATCATTTCCACACCACTTTTGAATCGTGAATACCACCTGAAATTTTGTGCACAAGATACACAATTATCCCTATAAACTTGATGCATCAGTTCAACTGTTTCAATGGCGCTTGTTCTGAGTTTTTAAAAAAAATGTAATGTTAGTTTTTTTGCTTCCTGCTGATTATGTAACAATGCACCTCTGACTAGGTCAACAAAATGTTGGCCTATTTTTTATCTACTTATCTCTCGGGAAAGAAAAGTTGCCAGATCATTGATGAATGTTGCCTCTTTAAATTCCATGCTTTTTGGAATTTTTGTCTTAGCCATAATAAAATCTCATTACTTAATTGTCAAACCTTTATATATATATATATATATATATATATACAACAATAATAATAGATATACACACACATATACACACATATATATATATATATATATATATATATATATATATATATATATATATATATATATATATATATATATATATATATATATATATATATATATATATATATATATATATATATATATATATATATATATATATATATATATATATATATATAGTGTGTGTGTGTGAGGATCAATATTTATTAGTTTCATCATATTCCTCTACCATCATTCTCACAGTCTAACATTGTATTCTTTCTCTGACGTTCTTTGATATATAAATATATATATGTGTGTGTATGTGTGTGTGTGTGTGTACGTACGTGCCTGTGTATGTGAGTGAATGTGTGCATGTGTGTGTGCGTGTATGTGTGTATCCTGCGTGATGCTGACCACATCACCCACCAAAAACTAATCGATCATTAAAATACTTCATTTTATTACTTTATTTGATTCTCTGTGTGTGTATATATGTATGTGCTTTCAGTGGTATGCGAGAACACAGATCCAAGCTGTGAAAACTGGGCTCGAAATGGTGAATGTGAACGAAACCCCAGCTGGATGATCTCAAACTGTCGACAAGCATGTAATAAATGTGATGATGGTAAGTGCTATGTTAGTTTTTACATATTATAATTTTATGAGCATTGTGTGGGTGTGTGTATGTGTGTGTGCGTGCATGCTTGCGCGCAAAAAAACAACAGTAGTTTGTGTGTATAACAGTGTTTTTTCTGCATATTTTATTGCTTACTTTAATTTTAAATGACTTTACCTTAATGAAAAATGATTTGATTCAAGAACTGACATCACAGCACTCGGGGCATTCCCATAAGCGCTCCATCCCCATCTTCTGCAAAGAGTTCCGATACTAATGGTGACAGTAGCATTCTGATTAAATGTCCATCTTGCCTTTCCTCTGCCAGAACCTCTCGTCACTCACCAACTGCATCAATCTCACCAGACTGTGGTGATCCGTCTGCTCCTCAGAACTGTACAAGCTCTCCCACAAGGCACTAACCATGCCTGCCTTATCATGCATTAGTATTCCACTAAGTTGTGCAGAGCCAGCCAGTCTGTCCGCCTGTTCATTTCCCAACACACCGGCGTACCGGTGAAAAAAATCAGGACAATACTCATCATACGTGGCCTCCGCAGCGAGGCATGCCACTCTGCATGAAGCATGCCTGTCCTGATCTTCCTCAGCATGCTTTCTGAGTAATTTACAATCACGATGTGTGTGTGTGTGTCGTGTTCTCTAGCCAGGCGAAAGCTGCAGTGACCGCCTCCACCTCCATTCTTAAGCTGAATGTTGTAGTCTTTAATGAAAAAGGCTATGATTAATCCAGATCAGGTCACTTTAAGCGTAGTTTTGTTTAAAGTGAAAGTATCAGGAATATTGTGTGACAGCCAGAACATTCAGGAGTTTTACAGGCAAGGGTTGATATAGGGAATTTTGTAAGAATTTTACATTCTTTATCTTCTTCTTTAATTCCTTTTTTACCACTTCGGGTGTTGAGAAAAATTTAAGTTCTGCTTCTAGGTTTTCTGGCTGGCTTGACCGTAAACACCTACTGCTGTTGCAGAGTTTCTCTGATGTTATCTTTCCATCTGGTTCTTGATCTATCTCATTATCTACATCAATCTCTTCTTTTCATGTACGCCTTTTATGGTATGGCGTTACAAGACATTCTCTGTAAGTGAGCAAACCATTCGATTTACTGTCTTTGCATGTAATTTAGAATTTATTCCATGCTGACTTAAACTTATGACCTCATCCCTGATTTCATCTCTTCTAGCCACTCCTGCAGCTTTTCTTAGACATCTCATTTCATGGTTGCTAATTTTCTTTTCTGCTTTGCTTTATAATTATAAATTATATAGCAGCAAGTATGTATACATGTATATTTTGTATCAGCTTAGAGGCATTTTAACAGTGGGCACATGTTACAGAGGGAACACGAAATACTGAGGCTGTATGTTCTTTGTTCTTGCATTCCATTCAGGAGGAGGGGACCATGTCTGGCACTGACTGTGTTGTTGGCACCTTTCCATCTTTCCAGACGATAGTTTCTATTGTGTTATAAAGAGGCACAGGACTCACAGCCCATCTTGATAGCGAGTGTAACTAGCAAGACCCACCCATATAGCAGTAGTATTAGTAGTAGTAATTTTTCAACAATATTCTGTTCAACTTACAGGGTTATAATTGAGAAATACAGTGTTCATTGATTTGTCAGAGCATATATTTGTTATTTTTATATTGATATATCACATTGTGGTGTGGAATTTGCTTTAGTATAGCAAATGCACTATGTGCAGTCTACGGAAGGAATCACAAACAGTGAAACATCCTTAAATATTATCTGTCTTCTAGCCTTGCTGGATAAAGGAGAGGATTCAGGGTTTGTTGAGGAGGAAGGACAAAAACATATCTCTTTCCTCAACCTTGTGTCTAAAAGGAAGTGGGATGGGCAATAGGAAGTTATTGAAAGGGGAAGCTAACTCTAGGTTAATCCTCCCTATTCTCATTCTCCCATTTAACTTAATAATTAGGAAATTTATAATATATTGCTGAAATGAAGCATTAATTAATAGGCAGGAAATTATTGTTATGTATTCTCAACCTTACTGTATGGCACAGAGACATGGACAATGAACAAACAACTGGAAAATCGTATCAATTCTTTGGAGATGTGGATATACAGAAGATTAGGTCGTATTTCATGGAAACAAAAGCTATCAAATTCAGAGGTACTGAGGAAATTGGGAATGAAAAGAGAGTTGCTAGGTGAAATAAAAAAAGAGACAAGTGAAATATTTTGGCCACATTAAAAGACATAACAGTATTGTAAAGATCATCCTAGAGGGAAAGGTTCAAGGTAGGCGTGCAAAAGGCAGACAGCGTTACAAGTGGGAGGATATCATCAAGAGATGGACGAACAGCAGTATGAGTGAGTGTACATCAAGGGCAAGAGACAGGGCTTGTTGGAGATCCATTGCAGCCAACCTTCATTGTGGAGACGGCACCTGATTGATTGAGGAAATGATTGTTTAGACCAGCTCGTTACACATGTAATTATTTAAATGACTGATATTTAATTTGTATTGTTCCATATATTGCTATGATTTGGGTTATGATTAGGATAGACATTGATCTATGAATAATTAGACAATCTTACTAACATTGTGTCATTAACATGTTATATTTTGTATTTCCTTAGTGAAGAAAAAACACTTCAACATTTATAGCATAGGATTTCAGGATCTGTGTTGTCATCATTTATTTGTACACCATAATAAATGTATTCTTTTTCTGAAGGCACCTGCAAGAACTTCTATGACGATATCCAGTGCCAAATCTGGGCACAGAAGCTGGAGTGTATGGTGAATTCTGATTGGATGTCCAAACACTGTGCCAAGGCTTGTGGGCGAGGCTTGTGTGAAGGCATGCAACCAGATTTAGAAACTGTCACTCCTTCAGTTGGGAGGAAACAGACAGTTGCACCAACAACAAGGACTGGTCATTGTGAGGTTTTAAAATGTTGTTTTTAACCTTTTATTGATCATAAGGTCTCATTATTTTTGTGTTGTGCCATTATACGTCCAAAAGGGTTGGCAGTGTATTCCTCAGGGCTGTCCTGTGCCATACTTTCTATATCATGGATACAACCCGATTCAGCACCTTGGTATTAAATCCTTACGTCCTTTTTAGGACGTAATTTTTTGTTATTTGAAGCCCCACTCTGGCTTTTGCCAGGGGCCGCAATATAGGCAGGCCATCAATATGGCCAATTGTCTGAACGCGGTTTTTGGGACCTCTCCACGATGATCCTCATCCGCATGGTGGCACTTTGTGTCATCGGGTGTTTATCGCTTGTGTGATGTCCTGGTGGGGTAGAAAGTCAAGTCAAGTCATTCAGCACCTTTGACAGAATCAACAAATGCATACACAAGTGCTGCTCTTCTAACCGTCACCAGGTGTCTATCGCTTGTGTGATGTCCTGGTGGGGTACAACAAGAGAGAGAAAAAATGCATAGGATCGTCGACTAGCAGTCTTGTGTTTTTTGAAGAGGGATTGTAGTTCGACTTTGAAGTGATTACATCCCTTATTTTTCTGAACAATATTGGTGAAAGTGCTTGTTCAAGATTGATGATAGACTACATAAACCTGGTGTCCCCGCAGCCGATGGTGGGTACAATGAACTTCCAATTCTTTCCTCATTCCTTCTTTCTCACCCTTCTAAGACAAACATAATTTCATGTCACTGTCATTCAAGTCTACTTGACAAGTTAAACTAACCCCCACTAAGACATACGGACATATGTACCAATTTCAGCCCAAAATAGATCGAACATGCAAGAGATTTTAACAACTACTATCTAACAATTTAAACCAGTAGCCATTATTTAAAAAAAAAAAATAAAGTTAAAATGTGAGAGTGAGAGAAAGAGAGACTGAGAGTGAGTGAGAAAGACTGAGAGTGAGAGTGAGAGAGAGAGACTGAGTTAGAGAGACTGAGAGTGAGAGTGAGAGAGAGAGTGAGAGAGAGAGACTGAGAGTGAGAGTAAGAGAGAGAGAGACTGAGAGTGAGAGACTGAGAGAGAGAGAGAGGGACTGAGAGTGAGAGTGAGAGAGAGAGACTGAGTGAGAGACAGAGAGAGAGACTGGGAGAGAGAGAGAGACTGAGAGTGAGAGTAAGAGAGAGAGAGAGAGAGAGAGAGAGAGAGAGAGAGAGAGAGAGAGAGAGAGAGAGAGAGAGAGAGAGAGAGAACTACTGAACTTGTTCTAGACTGTGCAGGGATCTAAGATAGAGATAGATGTTAGATATACTGACCCACTAAACCAACATGAAAGTCTAAATTGTATGCATCTAAAGAGACTACACACACAACATGAGTTGAGTGGCATATAGATTCGTTTTTATCATTTAATTGAAATAACTGTAGATATATTTGTACAGTGAGTATATTTGTGTCAAGGGATTTGTTTTGTACAGTGGATTTGTTGGCAAAGCAGGCATGACTGTACATAGAACATATTTAGATAGTGGATATATTTGTACAATGGGTATGATTGTACAGTGAGTATATTTGTACAGTGTGTACATTTGTACAGTTGGTATATCTGTACTTTGGGTATATTTGTATATTGGGTATATTTGAACACTGAGTATATCTGCCCATTGAGTATAGCAGTACACTGGGTATATTTAGACAGTGGGTATATTTGTACAGTGGGTATATTCGTGCAGTGAGTATATTTATACAGTGGGTATATTTAGACAGTGGGTATATTTGTACAGTGGGTATATTTGTACAGTGAGTATATTTGTACAGTGGGTATATTTGTACAGTGGGTATATTTGTACAGTGGGTATATTTGTACAGTGAGTATATTTGTGCAGTGAGTATATTTATACAGTGGGTATATTTGTGCAGTGGGTATATTTGTACAGTGGGTATATTTGTACAGTGGGTATATTTGCACAGTGAGTATATTTGCACAGTGAGTATATTTGTACAGTGAGTATATTTGTACAGTGGGTATATTTGCACAGTGGGTATATTTGTACAGTGGGTATATTTGTACAGTGAGTATATTTGCACAGTGGGTATATTTGTACAGTGGGTATATTTGTACAGTGGGTATATTTGTGCAGTGAGTATATTTGTACAGTGGGTATATTTCTATGGTGGATATATTTGCACACTGGCTGTTTTTACAGTGGGTATATGTGCATATATATATATATAAATATATATATATATAAATATATATATATATATAGTATATATATATATATATATATATATATATATATATTATATATATTATATTTTTTTTTTTAAAGCTGATTAATTATATAGCAGCTTAGAAGCATTTTAACAGTAGGCACATGTTACAAGTGGGCATAATTAGAAAGAGGGAACATGAAACACTGAGGTTTTATGTCCTTTGTTCTTGCATTCCATTCAGGAGGAGGGGACAAATGTGACATTTCTCGGTGTGATTTGTGTACTAGAGACAAATGTGACATTTCTTGGTGTGATTTGTGTACTTGAGGACACAAATGTGACATTTCTTGGTGTGATTTGTGTACTTGAGGACACAAATGTGACATTTCTTGGTGTGATTTGTGTACTTGAGGACACAAATGTGACATTTCTTGGTGTGATCTGTGTACTTGAGGACACAAATGTGACATTTCTTGGTGTCATTTGTGTACTTGAGGACACAAATGTGACATTTCTTGGTGTGATTTGTGTACTTGAGGACACAAATGTGACATTTCTTGGTGTCATTTGTGTACTTGAGGACACAAATGTGACATTTCTTGGTGTGATTTGTATACTTGAGGAGACAAATGTAAAATTTGTTGGTGTGATTTGTGTACTTGAAGAGACAAATGTAAAATTTGTTAGTGTGATTTGTGTACTTGAGGAGACAAATGTGACATTTCTTGGAGTGATTTGTGTACTCAGCAGCCACTTGCAGAAACATGCACAGCTCTGACACAGAATGTGACATCTGGGCCAGCAACGACCACTGCAATATAAACCCTAGCTGGATGCAGAAGAACTGCGCCAAGTCCTGCCGCAAGTGTACCGGAGGAGATACTACTGGCAGCAAGGGAGCAAAAACAACAAACCCAGATACTGGTGAGTTAGTGTGTGTGAGTCAGGCATCAATGAGTTAGTATGTGTGAGTCAGACATTAGTGAGTTAGTGTGTGTGAGTCAGACATCAGTGAGTTAGTGTGTGTGAGTCAGGCATCAGTGAGTTAGTGTGTGAGAGTCAGACATCAGGTGAGCTAGTGTGTGTGAGTCAGGCATTAGTGAGTTAGTGTGTGTGAGTCAGACATCAGTGAGTTAGTGAGTGTGAATCAGGCATCAGTGAGCTAGTGTGTGTGAGTCAGGCATCAGTGAGTTAGTGTGTAAGTTAGGCATCAGTGAGTTAGTGTTGTGATTCAGGCATCATTGAGTTAGCATGTGTGAGTCAAGTCTTCAGTGAGTTAGTGTGTGTGAGTCAGTCTTCAGTGAGCTAGTGTATGTAAGTCAGGCATCAGTGAGTGTGTGTGAGTCAGGCATTAGTGAGTTAGTGTGTGTGAGTCAGGCATCAGTGAGTTAGTGTGTGAGAGTCAGACATCAGGTGAGTTAGTGTGTGTAAGTCAGGCATCATTGAGTTAGTGAGTGTGAATCAAGCATCAGTGAGCTAGTGTGTGTGAGTCAGACATCAGTGAGTTAGTGTGTAAGTTAGGCATCAGTGAGTTAGTGTGTGTGATTCAGGCATCATTGAGTTAGCATGTGTGAGTCAGTCTTCAGTGAGTTAGTGTGTGTGAGTCAGTCTTCAGTGAGCTAGTGTGTGTAAGTAAGGCATCAGTGAGTAAGTATGTGTGAGTCAGGCATCAGGTGAGCTAGTGTGTGTAACAAACCAAATTGTTCTTTAAAGCCAAGCTGACATCCAAATTACCCTAAAGCTCAGTGATATGGGTCAAAGGTAACGGCATAAGTCACCCAATACATTTATTTTTTAGGCCATGGAGATTGTTTTCAGTTTATTGCTTCATTCTGTTTATTGATTACTCCATTTATCTATATTTATATATTTCAAAAACATTTCAAATGTACATAAATAAATGTAAAAATAATTTTTTTATTACCTCTGTAAAATTTTTGTTTTTAAAGGATTCCATAAGAATTCCCACGGTGTTATGAACCATTAAAAACATTTTGTGTGTGGGTGCATTACTAAGGGTAAAAGGTTATGGGAGAACACTGAAGATAAGAAGAAATGTGTGACAGAAATAATGATCTATAGAGAGTTAATAGAAGAACAGTGTTCAGCAGTGAATACAGAGTTCAAAGCTATGTACAGGACAGGGTACAGATACACAACGGGGCAAGAGACCTGTTATTCACTATACAGATGAGAAGTAAGAATGTTTAAAAAAAGACAGGCTAAAAACATTCAAGGAAAGGATACTTCTTCTTATGATCAGACATCTCTTTTTGTGCTTGACCCATGGTGGAGTTTAAGCTCAACAAGTAAGGTTTCTTCAGAAGTTGTGGGAACTACATTATTCTGGTCTTATCAGGTACAGCCAAGTTTTGTGAGGATCTTCAAACAGGATGTGCTGGCTGGGCTCGGCACGGCTTCTGTGACACCAATCCCAGATACAACCTGCTCTACTGTAAGAAGTCTTGCAACAATTGTAACGGTGAGTGCATCAGTTTAACTATGATTGCAACATTTGGGAAGGCAAAATATTAATTGGTTAGGCCTAAATAGTTTTAACAATGATCACAATATTAATGTTAACAGTTGCAACAATGTTTCAATATTACTGTCAACCCTATTGGGATGCAATTTTTTGTTATTTGAAGCCCCACCCTGGCTTTTGCCCGGGGGCCCTGAATATAGCCAGGTTATAAAGATAGCCTAACGGCTGAAAGGGGTTTCTGGGACCTCTTGTTGGGTGATCGGTATCCGCATGGTGGCACTTTGTGTCACAGGGTGTTTATCACTTGTGTGATGTCCGGATGGGGTACAACAAGAGAGAGAGAGAGAGAGAGAGAGAGAGAAGAGAGAGAGAGAGAGAGAGAGAGAGAGAGAGAGAGAGAGAGAGAGAGAGAGAGAGAGAGAGATAGCAATGATTGTACAAGCTTGAATAATAGTTGTAAAAGTAAGTGGCAGTTTTACATTGTGATGTAATGCTAACGACAGTGGGTTAGTATGTAGGAGTAATAAACAGATTAGTTATCATCATCATCCTCTTCAACGTCTGCTTTAGATGTTAAGGACAAATAGAAACAATTGTGGTGAATCAGTGAACAGACATGTTTGGTTATGAGCTTGCTGATGGGTTGGCTGGTTTGAGCCCATTTGGGGTGTACTGCAGCTGAATAGGGCATAGGTGATCTCTTGCCAGTGGGGTGAGATAAAGAGTCAAATGGAAGATACTAAACACTTAAATATACCTGGAGAGAATGATGCACCAGGGAGTGTCTGCAGGCTCTCAACACCACTCGAGTCTTGATGGAAAGGCAAGGCGAGTAGATAACCATATGACAACTGGTATCATAAGTATGGAAACTCTTCGCTAACTGTTCAGGAGGGAGGCAGAGCTAATATAGACTTGTCCTGAATGTGGTGATTCTGATATTTACTAAAATGACACAGAATGAACCCAAAAAAAACACAAAAAAGTTAATAGACTGAATGAAGTAATGCTCATGTGTAAAAACAAAGAAAGTTTAAAATGAGATCGCTCTGGGGATGATAACCAGGTACCATAATAGTTTTATAAATTTTTTGGTCATTAAATATGGCACTTAGGAAAAATAGTCACCCAAATACATAATTCATATTTTTCTTCGTCTGACTTTCATCTTCCAGTGTAACATAGACGCTCAGCCAACTCAAATAAACACTTTATATACTTTTTGTGGTTGGTTAAATCGTGGGATGTTAAATCAACAGGATGAGAAAACTAGTCTGTAATCAACTCTCTTTCTACGACAGTGGTTTTCAACTTGAGGTGGATATAACAGCAACTATACTGATGGGAATCCCTATAAAACACAGTGAGAATAATTTGACACTAGCCGAGCACTATTTAATACAGTACTTTTTTTAAAACCAAAATTGCGTTATATGCCAAACATGGACATTAATAACAAAAGAAAAATCGAAACATTAGAAATGTCTACAATGAATCCTAAATGTAACTAGAAGAGGTAAAACAAATGTTAAGTCTCCCCATTTATACAGTGTTACACACTAGCTCACTTCTGATTGGTCAACCTTCACCCTGGCTCACTTCTGATTGGTTGACTTTTAGCCTTGCTCACTTCTGTTTGGTTGACCTTAAGCCAGGTTACCTTGCCACTAGGGGGTTTCCCGCAATACTGTTGATATCACGTGTTGTATTTTTCAGCATGCCAGCGCTTTTAACACTCCAAAAACATTGACAAACTGAATTCAACACAAAACCCCTTTAGAGAGTGATTAAACCTATGTCAAAGGCATTCTATTTCTCGGAATAAAAATGTAAAGGCAAGACAATCCAGAAAGCAAATAACAGAGCGGCACACCCATAACCTGCAGAAAGGTTGACCAGCCCAACAAACTTATGAATGGAACGTGACCTACTTTGTTTGGGGAAACTAATGTTTGATTAACCCTAGATGAAACAGAATAAAAAATTATGGCATCAGGAAAGAGAACAAATCAAATAATTAGGACTTGTGCCACTAGATAGTGCACCACAGAGAGCTGTTTTTTAGACATTATGAGAACAGAACTAGAAGTCGACCACACAAAATGGATAGATGGAATATCTGACGCTATAAATACCAGCATCTGCATAGTTTATATAAGGACTTTTGAGCTGAAATGCTATAGAAAGGTTCTCATATCTTGGACAAAGAAGAAGAGAAATACTCACATCTTGAAATATCTGAACATCAAGGAAGTTTGGCTAACAAACAGCATTCTGTCTCGGAAGCTACAATATTTTGGTCATATCAAGTGCCACGACAAACTGGAAAAAATAATAGCAGAAGGACTAGGACCAGGAAGGAGGGGCAGGGGCCGACAAACACGAAGATGGGCACAGTATATAAGTGACTCCTTGAGTATGTGAAAGTACATGAGGCGGGAGAGCTGGCGAGAGAACTAGTTTCTTTCAGGCAGACCGTGATGAGAGCAATGTTAAGCAAAGGACCTGCTACATGATGATGATGACATAGCTTAATCTTAGACTTGCACCTGACGCATTTACAAAACCTGATGCTGTAAAACAGAACAGGACTTAAGAAGAAGAAAAGAATAAATAATATTTGTATTGATATTTTTGTAGTTGAGAATATATTGATGGATAAAAGAAGTTCATTGCCTTTTCTGATTCTTGATTGCCAGGCTGTCGTGATGCAGAGTTCCTCTGTGCAGTGTGGGCCAAGGACGGTCACTGCGAGAAGAATGCCAGATACATGCTCAGACACTGTCAGAAGTCATGCAAAGCTTGCTACATGCACAATCAGTGATCACTTTTGATTTAAAAGCAGATCATATCCTGCACATAGAACTCAACATTTGTTCTCTTGAGTAACAGTTTTTGGTTACAATAAATAGATATTTGCAACAGATAATGTATTGCTGTTGTTGTCCTATTTCCAGCATTCATGACATATTGAATCCATTAATACTGTGGCTCTTCTCTACTTCCCTGGAGTGCATCATTTCTTATCTGTTTTTCCAGCCCATGTTTAAAAAAAAAAACATAAATAATTTTTTTTGCCAGTTAATGTGGAAGAAATGCCCACGTGTGTTTACAAAATTAAGGAAGGACATAGGTGTTAAGAACACTCTCTTTTGTTTTAAGTCCAGGAAGTTTGCAGTGCCACTTCTGAGGAATGGGATATTGCTCGTATAGGCTCTGTGGGTCTTCAGACCCACTACTCCTTAGCAACCACCACACAAAAGGCATACAATAAAGAGTTTACCATGTTGGACTGTTGACAGATCACAGTCTAACTGTAAATCACAAGACAACAGGCCAACTGCTCTCTGATGTTGAATCAAGAATCGACATCACAGCACACTCCCATAAGTGCTCCATCCCCATCTTGAGCAGCAAGCGAAGAGTTCCAGTTCTGATGGCACCAGTAACTATTTGACTGTATATCCATCTCATCCTTCCCCTGAGTGTTGAGCGTCAGCCAGATCCCCTGGTAACTCCTCACAGCGCTATTACCATTAAACCGTAATGATCTATCTGCGCCTCCGCACTGTTCAAAGGGCCCTCACAATATCTAGCTTATCATACATCGATTCACCACCAAGTGGTGCAGAGCCGGCCAGTCTATCTGCCTGCTTATTTCCCAACACACCAGCATGATCTGGAGAAAATATCCAAAGGATGCTAACTAACTGGAACCTCTGAAGTGATGCTTGCCACTCTGCACGAAGCATGTCTGGTCTGTCTTCACCTTTCTCAAAATACTCTGTGAGTCAGTTACAATCATGGCATGTGTGTACAGCTGATTCTCAAGCCAGCGGAGGGCAGCAGAGACAGCCTCAACCTCCATTCTGAAACTAGATGTTGTGATATCAAATGCGAGGCTTTGCTGCACTAAGTGACGTCCATTCGCCTTTGCTATGAACCCCCCATGCACTTCATCTGCCCCTAAACACAACATGACAACTACCCTCTTAATGGCTAATGTAGAATAAGACTTACAACCGCTTTTATAAACACTTGCACCATTCATTTGCTGATTTTTCTTAGTCATCTTAGTCCGAATAATGTAACTGATCTAGTAATGATGATGGTCTAAATTGTGGGTGTTATGAACAGCCTTGTTTGTTTGATTGGTTTAATTTTTTTTCGAGGTTACTGTCAGCAAATTTCAAGGAATTTTCGCACCCCCCCCCCCTCCCGGAATTTTCCAGGTCTTTTAACGGTCTTCAAAGGGCGAGCTGTCTTTGAAAGATTTTTCCAAGGTTTCAAGAACCATAACGAGCCCTAGTAATTGTGTTGGGTCCTGTTAAAGCATAGCAATGATAATTTCACCTTTCGGCCAACACATCCTACTTGTTTGTTTTATGGAACATGACATAGCCTTATTTGTGTGGTGTCCTCTTTGTCCCTTTATCTACATGTGCCACTCCTGGAGAACCCACCCAGGGCAAATGTGTGTACACTGGTCAGCCCTCACGGGAAGGAAAGGGCAGTTCATGGGCATTCCTCATCATTCAAAGAGGCTTCCAGAAATGCAGAACTGACACATGATGCTCTGGTTGTGGGCTCACCCAGGAATTGTTATGTCCTGCCCATGACTGCTTTAACCTCACATCTGCATGTTGAGCTTCTCACTAAGGGCTGCAGTCTTTGGGGATCAACAGCTCTGTAGCACCGACTGGGCTCCTGAAATATTATGTGTAGAATTTTGACTCCATAATTTGCCCAGACAGCGCATAGACGTCTGATCTCACTACCCAGAGACCAAGAGGAATTATTCGAAGTCCAAGTCCATGTGAAAAAAATCACAGCCCTTACCCGGGATAGAACCCGCAACCTCAAGCACTCGAAGCGGACACCATGCCTCGAGACCACGCAGCTCCCTGCCTCTGCCGGAGGCAAGGAATCAAGTTTGCTTACAATTAAGTGTACTATTTTTTCAGTTACCGAGTTTTGGCATGCATATCCATTTGACTGATCTGGATTGCAATCAGGCTGTTGGTTCCTTGTTTCCCAGGAAGATGCATTACGACTTCAAAGGAAACCCCTATTAGTCGACTCCTACAACATGCTTGTTGGGAAGGCAGTTGGACTACTCATTTTCTAACCCCCCCCCCCCCCCCCCCCTCAACACACACACAGGGATAATGATGACGAGTCATACTGTTACAATATATGCTAAGTGACTCACTAGATATACTTGCTACAACTCACATCAAATAAGACTACTTGGTACAACGTTAACACACTAAACTCAAAACAAACTTAAATTTTCGGAGACTTTATTTCCAACACTTAAAACAAACAAAAAGAGAAACCTAAATAAAATGTTACCAAACAAATCGTTCTCTGGAACATTACACAAAACAGTGACACTATTTTTTTTAGTACACACTCATAAAAAAAAAATGTTATTCCCCCACTGGAGTAAAGGCTGTCAATGAATGCACACAACATTTACACCATACCTGTTGCTACTTTCTGCATCTTACTCCCCAGTTGTTAATCCTTGTTTATTTCTTTTATCAGCATGTTTGTGGTCCTTCTCTCTGCCCTGTGAGTTCCAGTGCAAGCACATTATATTCATTTTTTCTTGACTTTTGTCATATCCAGCAAGTTTCTGTTTCTTCCTTCCCTCAACTTCTGCACAGATTTGGTATTGGTAGCCTTGTGTAATTTCTACCATTGAGAATAATAATTATTTTGTCTAAAGTTCTGCCTTTAATATTATACTGATGTAAATTTAATGGTTTAAGAATTTCAGATACAATAATCTAATGAATATGCAGGCCAAAAACTAAAAACGTGCAAGTAAAAAAATTCTCTGATATAACAAATACTGACACAGCATTTTCATAATTTTATTCATATTTTCCCCCCGACTATCCAGAATGGGACTGAACGGGAGTCAATGAAAAATACTGCTTCAAAGCAGCTTCTTCCGTGACAGTCATAAAATACTGGGGTATCTAAAGCCCGCTGGAGAAATTACCGGATCAGCAGAATAGTGCTCTGGCTGTTTTGACATACGACATCCAAAGCCTAAAAAAAAAAAAAAAAAAAAAAAAGCAACTTCTGTTATGGTACAGATAACCAAAAAAAAAATCTAGATGAGGAGGAAAAGGTGTCCCAGGCTGTGTAGATGAAGCTGACCATAAAAGAAACCACACAAATCAAATATAATGCAGCACGGCGGCTATGTGAGTGAAAAATATACGAAGCGACCAGAAGGGCCCTGTCCAGAAATCTCTTCCTGCGAGGCATCCAGAAGCAGAGAAAAGAAGAAGATGGGATTGATCCCTGCATAAATACAGATGACGCTAGTCTTTGTAGTCATTCAATTAAAATGCAGTTAAATTTAAGCATGCATCTTCAGGCTCTAAGAAATTAGCCAGATAATAAAATACACATTAAAAAAACTGGTACTCACAGAAGTCACCCCCCCCCCCCCCCCCCCACCCAAAGCACTTACAAAAGTCTTGATTCACACACATAATTGCAACTTACAGAAATCCTCTCCCTCTTCCCCCAAATTGCCACTTACAAAAGTCCTCCCCCCCCCCCCCCCCCCCCCACTCCAAACACTACATTCTAAGGCTTACATGGTACAATTAACAGACTGGATGCTGGCCAGTAAAATGTTCAGTCATTTTATATGAAGCAAATAAGCTGCTCACAATTATTAATCAAAAATGCCCCCCCCCCCCCCCCCCGATGCTGGTTAAACATGGCGATTTGTTTTGGCAAAACAAGGCCAGGTCCTCATTATGATCAACAACATGTATCACTTCACAAGCTGATGTTATTCTATGCCAGGATACATAATTAGAAAATAGATATAAACACAGAGAACTGTGTGCTATTATTTTCCGCCACACATCTCTGGGAAACCCATACAATAGGATTGGGGGGGGGGGGGTGTATGTGTGTGTGTGTGGTGGTTGTGGTGTGGCTGAAGGAAATGAACTGCATTAACGACATGCACAAAATGGTTTTTGTAAAGTCTGTTTTAAGGAAAATCCCGAGTTCTGTACTTTCTCCTCTATGGTTTTTGAGGTGAAAGGGCTAAATATAGTTCATGCATGGAGACGACAAAAAAAAAAAAAAAACCATTCACCATATAAAGAACAACAAAACAGTCATTTTAAACACAATTTATTAATCTTGCTCAAAAATGGCAAACAATGTCACAAGCACACACACACACATATGCGAGTGGCATCCACGGACATTCAACAAGTTACACTGGAAACATGACAATGACAGGTTCCCGAACTTCCCTGGCCATGTGCCGCCTTCAATGATTACTCTGTGAGGAAAACACTTTCCCTTAATCAGGTAACAGCTAAAAAAAAAAAAGTTATCGCCTGCGCTAGACTAACAACTGAAATGAACAACCCCACCACGACATTAATGTTAATGGGAAGAAAGTTTATCTTCGTTAGTGGGCAAATATCGGGCAAAAATCATGCTGCAGCTAGGGAACTAAGAGAGAAATGCTAGACACCAACCCAACATTGAGAACGAGCCACTTGAATAACATTTAAAAAAAAGCACAACCAACCATGTTATTCACGTGGCTTCTCCCCTGTTGGGGCTGGCCTATAGGACTTCTCTTATTTTTCTGCTGACTGACAAAGTCTTTGACCAAAACGTTCAACTATTCCTGTGTGCGTGCGTGCCCCCCCCCCCCCCCCCAATCATACATAACTTTTTTATGTTTAGTGAATTTATTTATGCCGGCTTGACTGCAGTAATTCCTATTTTCATCATTCGTACTGTCCGAACATTTCCAGTGTTGTGGTTTAGCGGTGAGTAGAAATGTTTAATAAAATCTACGACCCTTGTGTACTAGGGTTTCAATCCTGTGGCAGACAGTTTATTTTTTTTTTTAAAAGTCCCTGTAGTCTTTGGGCTGTGGTTCGAGAGTTGCACTGTGGAAGAGACTGGGCCCTCATCACGTAATATGCTCCAAAACAAATAGCGGTACACGGTAACCAACAGCCCCCCCCCCCCCCCCCATAAGACTAGTTTTTAACAATGAATTCAGACCCCACAAAACAAAATGGCTAACCACAGAGTGAAAGCAAAACATCTTGGTGTGAACATATATACTTATAATATAAGTAAAATATTTTTAAAGAATACACAAGACAAACTTAACAAAATGTAAAACAATTTTCAGCAACACAACTAAAATTGACTAAAGAAAACAAATACTGACTGAACTAAATAAATTTATGGCCATACAAAATGAATCGTGTGTGGGGCATAATACAACTTCTTTCACTCCTGTCATACAGCATAAAGTTACAATTCTGTTTTCTTCTCAAACATCATAAAGATTTGTACGCAGAAAAATTAAGCAATGATAACCTCTCATACACTGTAAACATTCAATTTTGGTGCAAAGAATGTAGCAATTCTACTTTATCGTATGCCAAACAAAACACAAATTCCTGCACTAAGTAATAAGGACATTATGCCCCACCATTCTCTGGCAAAAATGTCAGAACATTTGATTAGTTACTTCTGTACACAGTGAATGTTGCAAATTAGCTCCACCACACAACATAATCAAAACATAACAGCCATACACTATACAACAAACATAAAACTGACTCTGCCCCAACATGTCAGATTATATTATTACTCACTTCTGTACATAGTAAATGTTGCAAATTAGCTCTGCCACACAACATAATCAAAATATAACTGTCATTTACTATACAGCAAACATAAAATTGACACGCCCCACCATTTTCTGACACATGTCAGAACATATTACTCACTTATGTACATAGTAAATGTTGCAAATTACCTCCGCCACACACCACTCAACAGAATCAAAACATAACTGTCATACACTATACAATAAACATAAAACTGACTCTGCCCCATCATGTCAGATCATATTATTACTTACTTCTGTACACAGTAAATGTTGAAAATTACCTCTGCCACACACTCAACACAATCAAAACATTACTGTCACACACTATACAACATAATCGAAACATGACTGTCATACACCATACAATAAAACAGGCTCTGCCATACACTACACCATGCAGTGGCAGAGTTAATTCAACTAAGTTGACTCAGGGGCCAACATTTTGAAAATGGGGGTCTGTCACAGGACAGAGGCCCCAGCCCAGAAAGATCATTAATATAATACAACTAGCAATGATCAGCAGGCCAAACTTGCTGGTCCTCCGCGGGCCACCAGTTAAACAGCCTTGCAACACACAATGAAAACGGACTCTTGCTATACACCAAACAATCAACGTAATCAGCACTGACTATGCCGTACAATACATACTCCCTTCTGTACACAGAAAAATGTGGCAAAGACTTAAACCACACACTAGACAATCAACATAGCATATTATAAAGCCAGCCATGTCAGTGAAGGTTATACTCATATACAAACAATAATATCTGGCTGTCACTTCCTAGCTACAATTCTTCTCTGTTCATACAAGGACTAACACAATGTGGTGCACATTTGACATCACATGGCTCAGCTTGAAATCACCTTGCCTCTTTAGGCTATTTGGGAACAGCTTCATGCAGGCTGTACATTAGTTTTACACTGGTGCCAGCACTGATTCACCCCGTGTGTTAGCTGTACGCCATCTTGTGCTAGTGCTCACCCCACCCCTCTTCTTTTGTTGTATTTTTTTTGGGTATAAAAAAAAAAAAAACATGATTCCCCATGTTTCATACCATCTGATGCTGGTGCCGATTCTCCCTGTGTTTTAGAGCATCTGATGCTAGTGCTAGCTCTCCCCCATGTTTTACACCATCTGATAGTGCTGATTCTCCCCATGTTTTACATTATCTGATGCTAGTGTTGATTATCCCCATGTTTTACATCGTCTGGTGCTAGTGTTGATTATCCCCATGTTTTACATCATCTGGTGCTAGTGTTGATTCCCCTGTTTTACAGCATCCAATGCTAGTTCTGATTCTCACCATGCACTTACACCATCTGATGCTAGTGCTAGTTCTCCCCCATGTTTTACACCATCTGATGCTAGTGCTAGTTCTCCCCCATGTTTTACACCATCTGATGCTAGTGCTAGTTCTCCCCCATGTTTTACACCATCTGATGCTAGTGCTAGTTCTCCCCCATGTTTTACACCATCCGGTGGCAGTGCTAGTTCTCCCCCATGTTTTACACCATCTGGTGGCAGTGCTAGTTCTCCCCCAAGTTTTACACCATCTGGTGGCAGTGCCGATTCTCCCCATACCATTTGGTTCTAATTTCCCCCATGGATCAGTTTAACACCATTTGGTGCTATTGGCACATTGCCATGTGATAGTTAACTCCTGGTGGCCGTTTTAGGCTGACTACCTTAAGGGCAGTGATCGTTTTGCTATCAAAATGTTACAATAAAATTCTAGCAAACAAAAGGAACATGAGTTATTATTATATACGAGAATCTGACTTCATAATTCAACACATTAGGTCTGCTGCCTGTAAAAGAATATACAATTACAAGCATGGGCATCAAATGTAGTCTACGTTTGGCCCTCAATTTAAGACTGGTCTTCATCTTCCAGATCTGTGCCATACTGGGGGCTAGAAGGGCTGTAGTGAGGCGTGTTGGGGGAGTAGGTCGGGCTGCTGGGGGAGTAGCCTGGAGAGGCAGGGGATGGCGTTGGGGAGGTAGGAGAATAGTTTGGTGATGATGGGGAGTAGCTGGGTGATGTTGGAGAGTAATTTGGGGAGGAGGGGGAATACGATGGGGAAGTGGGGGAATACTGGGGAGAAGATGGGGAATAATCTGCAGCAGCTGGGCTGTAGGTGGGGACAGATGGGGAGTACTTGGGGGAGGATGGGGAATATGAAGGAGAGGCTGGGGAGTAGCGGGACGAAGATGGCGAATACTGGGGAGATGGTGGGGAATATTTCGGTGAGCTGGGAGAGTACTGTGGCGAGGTTGGAGAATAAGAGGGAGATGTTGGGGAGTAGGTCGGGGATGACGGGCTGTACTTGGGGGATGATGGAGAATAAGATGGAGAAGATGGGGAGTAGTTTGGTGATGCTGGGGAGTAAGAAGGAGATGATGGGGAGTAGGAAGGGGAAGATGGGGAGTAAGAGGGTGAAGCTGGAGAATAGGATGGAGAGGTCGGGGAATAGGATGGTGATGCCGGGGAATAGTTAGGGGACGAGGGAGAGTAGGATGGGCTTGTAGGGCTGTATCCAGGGCTTGTGGGAGAATATGACGGTGATGTTGGGGAGTAAGACGGTGATGTTGGGGAGTAGGAGGGAGAAGTGGGTGAATATGATGGAGAGGTCGGGGAGTAGGATGGCGAAGTTGGCGAGTAGGATGGGGATGTTGGTGAGTAAGATGGAGAGGTTGGCGAGTAGGATGGTGAAGTCGGGGAGTAAGATGGGCTAGTAGGGGAGTAAGATGGTGACGTTGGGGAGTATGATGGACTTGTGGGGCTGTAGCTAGGAGAAGTTGGGGAGTAGGATGGTGAGGTTGGGGAGTAGGATGGCGAGGTTGGGGAGTAGGATGGTGACGTTGGGGAATAAGATGGGCTTGTCGGAGAATATGACGGTGACGTCGGCGAGTACTTGGGGCTCGCTGGGGAATATCCAGGGCTTGATGGAGAGTACGATGGCGAAGCTGGCGAATAGCTGGGGCTCTGAGGAGTGGCTATAGCTGGCGAGCTGGGCATGTACGCAGGTGAGGCCGGCGAGTAGCTCGGAGACTGAGCCCCATGCGGTGAAGGAATGTAGGGTGGACCAGGAGATCCCGGTGATCCAGGCTGTGGTGACCAAGCGGGCGAGTAGCCCGGTGAGAATCCAGCTTCGCTGGCTGCTGAGGGAGAGAAGCCCGCTGCTCCGGGGGTCATACCGCTGCCCACTCCTGGTGACCAGGCGCTGTAACCAGGCGTGCCTACCTGGCCCCAAGGTGTCATCTGTGGGGACATGGAGCTGGTAGGGGATCCTCCTGTTCCGTAGAACATGCCTGATCCTGCATCTGAGGACATAAACAATGTATGAATATACTTGACATAAGGACATGATTTTGGGGTGCTTACTTACTTACTAGTAGGGGAAGAAACGGTAGTGCTACGGCAGAAAATGTGCCTACCAGCTGAAAAGTCTTGTGTCTAAATCTACACCACACCAAGGCATATGTTTTCTGGGAAGTAAAAGCGTCCAACGTGATTCTGACAACATCATTGCCAGGCACTGAATCATCTATATAATTATGGATCTCCCACCATATATAAAATGTGCCGACGGCATAAAATAGTGACATCTAGGACAGGATAGGTATTTTGATTAAAAATAACTTTTCCAAGTTATAATTCCTCATTTCACTTCGGTAAATGATGTAAACAACACAAATAAGTATATTCATATATTTTTACGCTGAAAAAAAAAAAAAGATGACTGCTAGACACCACCTCCTCCTACACCTCCCATATGAACATACCAAGTCCATGCCTAGACATTCACTCGGGCCCGAAGGTTGTAGATCCAAAAATGCACTGAGCCAAATTTGTCAGAAACTGACACTGACTTCCAGCTCGACCCAGCATAAAATGAGAACCAGGTAAAGTTGTGGGAAGTAAATGCGGCTTGCATGATGATTATCACATTAAGTGATGATTAGTCTATATACAGGTCTAGCACTATACGCCCGAAACGCCTAATGGTGAAGGAAAGACTATCTTTAACAAGTCCATATTCTCAATAGCACAGGCCAAGCCTGTCTATAAAAGTGTGTCAAAACATAGAGAAACCTACCTCCCATAATGCCAGCACCTATGTTGACTGGTATCTCCATACCAAATTTACATTTCTCAGCATCCAGTAGAAGCTCAAAGCAACCAGTACCGATCTTGGCCAGTTGCCCCAGCATAATGTTCTCCGACACACCTTTCATGGGGTCCACCTCTGCATGAGCAGCTGCTTCCATGAGGATATCCACCTGGCAGGATGTTACAATTCACATTAAACACAGGTAGAACTATATATATAAATTAACAAAGGAACATGGGACACAGGTAGAAGTACTTACACATTAACATTCACTGGAAAAACAATATACACAACTACGGAAAAGATACAGATGAGATTATACACACATTAATACCCCCTGGAAGAACTATATACACATTATGAAACGCAAGACACCGATACAATTGTAGACATATTTACAGAATAAATAAGGGGGACAGGCAGATTTTACACACACACACAACGGAACATCAGTCACTGGTACGACTATATACACATTAACATACACATGTAGTAGAACTATATACACATTACCATACACATGTAGTAGAACTATATACACATTAACATACACATGAAATAGAACTATAAACACATTACAGGGTTTCATAGCCAAATTCACAGACTTATCGAGGATTTTTGCCATCTTCAAGGGTGTACCAGGCATATACGGTACTTTATTTGTGCTCAATACACGTGGATATATGAGAAAAGATACGTTTTACTTTTTCTTTAAGACCTGGTGGCAACCATTATCTGTAAAACATCAAACGCAGGTTACAAGCTGGTTTGCAACCTTACATATAAGCAGTATCCTGCAAGCAAATTTTCTACTGACCTAACTGCAAAATGTGAAGGGAAAAACCTGCGACAGTGGTAAGATAACATGACTATCTACTATTATAAAATCCCTACCGTTTCTTCAAAGGAGCATCTGGCCAGGGCACCAGTCTCTTGCCTGTTGATGCCGTGACGAGTGATAGCCATCAAGTGACCCTTGGATGTCATAACGTCACAAAGCAAGGCCAAGTGCCGATAGTTGACGTATGAACCGTCAAAAGAAATGACGTGGTTCATCTCTCTCTCAATAGCCTTTCGGACGGCCTCAATACCCAGAGTCTGTCAACGAAAATTGAATGCTCATCACTATGTGCATAAACACGTGAACAAAGAAATAGTGACCAGCAAATTTTAAAAAGCCTTTCAATTTGTAAAAAAGTCTTACTATCAAAACATGAATGGCGTATCAGTATTAGAACAGAACAGCGTGTACAACACACACACAAATTTCACTTTCATAAAAAAAAAATTGTATAAGTGTGTGAAAACTGCATCAAAGCAAAAATAAATGAGGGGAAAGGTGGAGGAGAAAAAGAGAAAAAAGGTATTATATTTTTTAACAACTCATTCACTGTGCCATTATATCTATTTCTCCATTCAGGTCTATGCTGTGCAATCACTGATATCATGAATGGTATCCGGTTCAGCACCACATATTCTCCCATCAACATTAGCCTTACGGGGCTTCTCTTGGACATCTGAGTCTAGTTTCCTCAATCCCTTTACTGAGCAATTTCTATATTTGTTTATTTTGAAGCTCCACCCTGGCTGTTGTCGGGGGCCCTAACATAACCTAATGTTTGAATGGGGTTTCGGGGATTTGTGCCCAGGGGATTTTAATCTGTCATTCACTTAAAGTGTCTTATTACATAGATGAAACAGGCTTCAAAAGCCATCTCTACATATATCTTCTTCTTCTTCGCGTACACTCTGGTGTAAAGTTCTGGTTGTTCGTCCACTTCTGGACTGCAGTCCTGGCTCCAGAACCTGAGTGTTGCGTATGCATCAGTTTTACAGTTCTGATTCAATTGAATGCAAACTGCTGGTTCTTTGCCTCTCAGGCAGATGCACTCCGACTTCAAAGGAAGCTCCCCAGTTAGTCGACTCTTATGACATGCTTTTGGGGAGGCAGTGGGTCTATTCTTGTTTTCCCCACAATAGGGCCCCAGAACCCACATGGGGGTCTACATATATGAAATCTAAAGAAACTTCGTCACTAGAAATTCACTCAGTCCTTCCTATATTATCGCCCCAAGAGAACTTTCATGCTTAGCGTTGTTGGCATCATGCCAAAAGTACGTTTTTCAGCTATTTTGCAAGCATTTCCATTTTACAGATCCAGTTTTATCTGTATGCAGACTGTTGGCTCCTTGCCCCTTGGGCACTCTGAAGTAGTAAACACCTCCAATTTGTCGCCTCCAACAACAAGCCTGTTAGAGGAGCAGTAGGTCTGTTCTCTGATCTTAAAAATGAAACCATTAACCCCCCCCCCCTCTTGAACACTTTAATGTATATAAAAACCAAAAACTTACATCAAACACTTCAATGATATCGTTAGTGTATGTCCTGACTGGGTCAACATCTCTTTCACTCAACACTTTTGTCAGACTGGTGCCGTCTGTCTCCAGAATCCACTCACTGACAGCCTTGAACTCTCCCTCTTCTGTGATGTGGATTCGCCTCTTGTCATCCGTGGTTGGCAAATGCATGTACACCTGTGAGCAGGTAAAGTACCAAGGTGATTATTATTTGCAGGATATGTGAGATACAAACAGGCTATCATATTTCTCCAAGTATAAGGTGATCCTATGTATAGGACACATCTTGATTTTGTGACCAAATATTTTGAAGGGGAAAAAAAAATACAATACTACCACTGTATAAGACAGTTTTTGACCCTAAATTGGGGGGGGGGGGGGGGGGGGGGGGGGGGGGGAGAATGGCTGTTTTATACCTGGAAAATACCATTTCATAAATTAAAAACCCTTAACACATCCAATTGTGCATTAGTAATATGACGCCAGGCTCACATCTTTTATAGACCAACTGTGCTGGGTGGGTAATGTGGTCAACATCACGCCGCCCGCCTTTACTTCCCACGGCTTTTACACAGTACCCGTTTTTAGTCTGGGGGCTAGGGTCATTCTTTAAACACCCCCTCCCCCCTAAGATATGAAGACCACTGGACAATAAGACGGGTGAGGTCAGCATCCAACCACAGACTCAACAATCTATCTATGATAAAACTCACTTTAGCAATTGCTTCAATTCCCTGCAAGCTCATGTCTGACAACAGATTAGCCTCTATGCATCGCAGGAACACGTCGTCCTCCATCTTGTCAACCACCTCCTCTTGCTGAAAGAATAATAATGAGACACTTGAACATACTGACAACAACCCAGTCTCTCAGCATTCTAGCCTATAAACACATAATCTTAGCCTATAAACACACACATGAGCCTAGTCTATTAAAAAAACAAAAACACATAAGCTTAGCCTATAAACCAGTAGTTCTTAACCTTCCTAATGTGGAGACCCTTTAAGACAGTTCCTCATGTTGTGGCGTCCTCCAACCAACAATTATTTTTGTTGAACTTCACAACTTCAGCAAATATGTGTCTTCTGATGGTCTTTGGCAATGCTTGCAAAAAAAAAACACATAAGCTTAGTCTATAAAAAAACACCTAAGCTTATTGTTATACGAATGCATATGTGGACTCCAGGGTCCCATTTTGAGGGAATAAGAATGGACCTAGTCACTGCACCCTGACAAATGTCGTAAAGGTTGACTAGCGATTTGCTGAAATCATATGCGTTGGACCCACCCAATATCGCAGCCCAGCTGTTTACCACAAAATGCCAATCACTCTTAAGGGTAAAAAGTCTGGCAATCTCAAATTAGAAGCAAACACCTGTCTGAAACTCTTGAAATTCTAAACTTAAAAACATGGTGCACAATATATATGTACTTAGAAAATGTCCTCAGAAAAAAATTAGAGTGCTTTTTTTACTGCAATATCATCTTCATCAAATGTATGTTTTCATCACAGGACAAGTGGTTAGCGTGTGTGCTACAATTAAAGCTAACAGACAACAGACAGATCACTGCCAGGTTAACAATGAAAGGGACAAAATATACATCACAACTTTTGAGTACAAGATACTGGAACTCCCCCCAAAAAATGAGCCACTGCAATAAGCATATGGCAACTGAGAACAGGCTAAAGATAATTCTAGCGAACTGCCAGGAAAGATTTATGCATTACAAAAACAAAGAATTCTGAAATGGGGATACATATTCCATAGATATTATCAGATAGGACTGAAAAACGAAAAGTATAACATGACAATGAAGATGGATAGCATAATATCACAATATCAGAAAGAATATAAAACACCAAAATTATACATTAGACAATTATTAACTATATGAAATAGATAAAATACACCCTTCCACACAGAAGGTAAAAAAAAAAAAAAAAAGTCGGGAGATGTGAACCAGATTCATTGCCACTGGTTATAAACCATAAGTTTTCTGCTACCAGTATGGGCAGCTGATAAGAAACTGTCCGACTATGTCGCCGTCCGCACGAAACTCCGTAGCTACAGCAATGTTCCTCCATTTACCCCCCGTGTCAACTCTGGTACCCATTCTAAATATTTGTTTTAAACTTATTCTTTTTACCGTTTCAGGTGCAGAGGAAAATAAGTTTATCTTCTTCCTCTTTTGCCTGCCTTGACCAGAAAGATTGGACTGCTGTACAGTTTCTCTGATGTTATCTTTCCATCTTGTTTTTGGTCTACCTTGTGCATGGTATGGCATCGCAAGGCATTCTCTCTAACCACCTGATCTGCTGTTTTTGTATGTAATTTAGAATTGGTTCTTATAACCTCATTCCGGATCTCTTTTGACCTCATTCGGGATCTTATCTTCCCTGGTCACTCCTGCAGCCCATCTCAAACATCTCACTACCATGGCTACTAATTATGTACAACCCAGAAGTGTAGGCAATATATTACTGGGGAAAAATGTTACACAAAAACAACACACCTTTTCATACTAAATAAGGTCATTATCTTTTTCGATGCTTGTGCTTCTAGTGTTTGATGGAAGTCATTTAAAACTAAAGAACGGAAACAAAACGCAGTGTGACATCCTAAAACTTACATCCTGAAATTTGTTGTCATCAGAATTCATGATCCGGATTCTCAAGACCAGCTTCTCTGCATTATCATCATTAAAGATACAGTTGAGGTCATCGCCAAACCCAGCCTGGATTTTTTCAGAGATCTGTTCCATAGTTAGCTTCTTGTCTGTCATACGCTTGCGGTCCAGCTCAATACGAAGAAGCCATGGAGAGATACGGGAGGCATCAAAATCTGGCATCTCATAATAGATGCTCACCTAGGGAGGGGGGTAAACAATTATAAGAATTGGTAAACAAGTTATCAGAGATATGCTTGTTGATATCATGAGTCTTCTGCAGGTCAACTAATAAATAACGTGCAACAACAAAATATGTATCTGAGGTAGACAGATATACAGTATTCTTGGGAATAAGAGTAAACATGAACAGGGACGATAAACATATATTACATCTAAAGAACTCCTGAAGGTCTCAGTGTGGGTCCCAGGGTCCCACTTTAGGGTAAAACAAGAACAGACACACTGCTACCTTAACAAATCAATCATGCTGCAATTGGTGACTGATTAGGGGTGCCCTTTTAAAGCTGGAGTGAATCTGAGAGGTGAGAAAACAACAGTCTGCATACAACTAAGCCAGATATGCACAACGATTGTACAAGTAAAACTCAGATCCTGGTATGAAGCCGTGAAAAATCCAGTTTTTCTGTCAGAGTTTGGAGCCAGCGAACAAACAACAGATAGTTTTCACATGCCTGCTTGAGTTTTCAGTATTCATTTGTTGTTAAAATTGAAATGCTTATCAGAGCTCACCAAATATAGGAATTTTGTTATTGTTGAATTAGGAATCGATATCACAGCACTTGGGATACCCTCCTAAGCTCTCTGTCCTCATCTTCTGCAGCAAGCGAAGAGTTCCAATTCCGACTGCATCAGTACCTAAGTGTACATCCGTCTCACCTTTCTCAGAATCTTTATGATTTTAATGAGTTGAACGGAAAACAGACACAGGGTAAACAAATAATAAAAACTATAACAAATGCTACAGGTGTGTGCTTGTGTACAGCGTAGCTTACACACATGGCACCTTTGTCATTTATATATTTAATAAGCAAAGTACAAGGTCCCTTTACACACCAGTGGCGCACGGCATATGAGGCTGAGTCAACATGGGAGTTAAGGTCATGATGGGGGAAAACTCCAGGCACCATGCTGATTTGTACCCACAACCTTCGAATTCGCAGAAGAGCCTCTAGCCACCACACCGGCTCCCTATATAAAAAGTACACAAATAAAATAACACCTCAACTTACCCACTCCTGGTCTTCCGCGATGACTGTGTTCATAGGGTCAGGATCATAGTAGATGGCAGTGTTTGCAGTCACCCTGCGGAGAGTCGTGTGTTCCAGCCTACACAAGACATCCTTGCACCTCTCTGCATCTCGGGCTGCCTGGCCCAGCAGATACACTGTCAGAGATGGGGTCTTGGGCTTCTTGGAGATGTTGATAATCTCCTTGAGACGGGGCACACCGAGTGTGACGTTCTTGGCCGACACACCGGCGTAGTGGAAAGTGTTAAGGGTCATCTGAGTGGCAGGTTCTCCGAGGGACTGAGCAGCTAGGGCACCAACCATCTCTCCTGGATGTGCCTAGAGAAGTGAATAACATTTCATTACCTATATTTTCAATTACTGGAGCACCAGGGAGGCTAACCGGGTCAACAAAAGCCCGCAGAAGCCAAACGTGTTTGCTGAAAGGTGCAAATATCGCAGCCATGCTGTAAACAGACAATGCAATTACATCTTCGGATGAACGCAGAAGAAGAATAATTACTGGAGCCATGTTTATGAAAGAATATTTCAGTGAGTCATTCTAAAAAAAAAATTGGAAAGTACAAATATTGCTGTCACCACGACAGTATCACCTAAGTGCCAAATCCTTGCACAAGGAAATTGTGTCTAAACATAAAAAAAAATTTTTTTATAGTAATATTGTATACTTTATTTGGACCTATTTGAAGTAGAAATTCAGCTGAAACTACGGTTATCAAATTTCTTCGTCGCATGCCACATTCCTGTCGCTCAAGCTTTCATTTAAAAAATGCTATTCTTCCAGAAAGTAATTATTTGACAAAGCAATTTATAAACAACTGAAAAAACATGGGAACTATAGAGAAAGAGGCAGGGGTCAACCAGTGTCAACGGTGGTTAGAATACTGGAAACGCCTATAGCATGAAAATAAATAAGGAACAAAGTGGCAAAGGACTGACAGGTTGTCTGACGTGCTGCGATGGAAACAACATTCTGCAAAGGACCTGCTGGATGCTGATGATGATATCATACTCTGATTTAACACATCTGAAGCATAATTAAGTCATCTTAGATGACATGGTCGTCTTTATCAACCCTCCCGCTGTCAAACCAATGGGGATGCATAAACCGCGTGGAGATTCAGGCAACAGTAAATGTGTTTGTGTCCTGTATTTACTTCATAGCCTTAAACCAAGGCTGTCAATGCTGTGTAGTGGCTTTATAGCAAAGCTGTGATATCTACACCTTTCAGCTAAAACTTCTAGTAAACTCTTAAATAGTTGCCTTTAATAATATGCTTGTTAGGGTATAGTGGGTTGATAAACACACGTCAGAAAAATGCAGCAGAAACTCACCATGGCCTGTTGAAACTTGGTCTCAATCTCACCAAGCACCCATTCAAATGCCTCCGCTGTCAGGCAGTGTTCCTCCGCCACACGTTTGGTGCACAGAGTCGACCTGATCAGTGTCTTCATCAGCAGAGTGGCATTCTCATTGGCCTGGTAGGAGATGCGATCCTCGCCCACCACAATCACAAGCTTCCGGCACAGATCCCTAACACCTGAATAGAAAACAACCAGACTGACTGAGCAATGACACTAACAACAAAAACTATATCTATCAGGAAATGAAACCTTCAGTAAAACAGTTCAATCAACTTGAGAAAGATTAACATAATGATACTAGTTTAGGGCATTAACCAAGGTCAAAGGTATTCAATAAGGTGCCTCTTCTCTAAACAGTTAGTTATAAATTGCTCTTCTGTTTTCTAGTTACCTAATCAAAAGATTGGGGGGTGGGGATGTCTTCCTTTCTTTAAGGCTGTTCAGGATTCTGTCGTTCCATGTCTGCTTGGTATTCCTCCTGCTCATCAAATTCAATGAGCTAAGCACAGCAAAAACATGTTCAGGCCCTAAATTTAAATCTTTTCCTGCATTCCTTTATGTCCATGCTAATCAATTAACAAATAAAGGACCCTTTACCCGCGTCTTCTGGCTAGACCTTACTTTACAGACCAATGGGCACTTGGTGAGTAATGTGGTCAACATCAACCCTGCCGCCTTTACTTCCCAGGACTACACCTGGTACCGACCCGAGGCTGGGGAGATATTTTATCAGAACATGTAATTAACCTCATCCAGGCTGCTTGAAAAAACATATGCACTACACATCTACCTTCTCAGACCTAGTGGGGCTCACCTTCAATGACTTTCAACGGGTGCAGATCTGACGGTTTCCGTTTATCAATGCGGAAGATCTTCTGGGCATTCCACATGATCCTCTCCATATTACAGGGCAGCACAATACGGGCATCACCAGTGGAGAACACCTGGCGGATGTTAGACCTGTCCTCTTGCATCTGCTCCCATTCCTTCTCCAACTCAGCCATGAGGCTGGCATCTCCCATCAAATCTTTGATGACTTCTTCACTGAGATGTCTTCTCATAGATCTGGGGGGAAAGTTATAGAAATATGGTTGAGCATGGATTGATAAAACTATGGCAATGCAATACAAGATAAAAGAATCTAAATGGTTTAATTGCAGAAAAACATAAGAACTAGTTTACATTTGAAAAGATTACTTTGTTTAAAAAAAAAAAAAATTAAAAAAAATGACTGAAACAAAACAGATACTTTCCCATAAAAACTGGTTTTATGGCTGAAACACAACCTTTACATGTTATAGAAAATCAAGTTGTGTTTACTTTTAAAAGCGCTGCCTAACCTTGGCCTGCTCTATATATATATGATCTAAAAGCATAATATTGTTTAATGTGCAGCATATATCAGATACTAACTCAGAGGCCAAGGGTGCTGGACTGGATTCAATCTGATATCTAGAGGATTGCATAGCTAGACTGTGAGCCCGGTGTGACTACAGCAGCAAAGCATGACAGTGAATACAAAGTCTTCTTGCAATTCCTCTTGTCATCTGATAAGTCAAGGTCAGGGCTATTCACTGGCAGCCTGCGGATCACTGCCAGTTTAACTTAATTAATGCTCTTGCTATGTTGCGGCTCAGGAGCCTAGCCCGTGATTACAAAACATTTGGTCCCTAAAAAAACTTAGTTAAATAGCACTGGTACAGATAAGGGAAGGTGTACTGTACCAGGATTTGATAGTTTCTATTAAGTAGTTGCAAATTAATTACCTCTCATTAGTGGCATCGAAGCGGAACCGTTTCTCAAAGGCCTTGTCAGCTGGCTTGAGTGTAGGCAGTGACTGAAACTCGACCCAGACTGCATCGAGCCCGTCCTCTCCGTAACGCAGCTGGACAAGCTGCTCCACCTGGTTTCTGACTGTGCCGTCGTACTTGACCATAACACTTTCCATAGCCTTGATGAGACGCCGCTGAATGTAACCTGGGAAAACATACAAACACTGCAGAATGTACGCAGGACAATTCATGCATTTGTAGTTTGAAAGAATTAAAATTAGAAGAAAAAAAAAACGAATAAGTCTTCAGTGGGAAGAATGAGAATACACATAACCATCTCCAGTAAACCTTGATGATATAAAACTTCTTCTCATTGGTCAACTCTGAAATTGTTCAATTTCTTTTGCAAACCTTGACAGTTATCTCAGTATTTCTGTTTGGCAATCCTTCAATCTGTTTTATAATTTAATTAATTTATATTCTTTCTGGTTCCTTTTTTCTTCTTCTTAGATCATTATGGTCTGAGGACATTGGCGCTGTGAGGAGTTAGTTACCAGGTGATCTGGCAGATGCTTAATGCTCAAGGAAAAGGCAAGACGGATATACATTCTGAGTTATTGGTGCTATGGGAATTTAAACTCTTCATCTGCTGCTGAAGATGGGGACTGAGTTCATACGGGGGTGTCCTGAATGCTGTGATGTCGATCTTTATTTCAACATTCGAGCTTCCTTTTAAAAAAAGCATTCATCTTGGTTATGAATATTAACTATAATGCTATACTGTTCAGTCGTCTCTTAACTGAATCGGCCACAAGTTTTTGCTTTCGCAACTTTACTAACAACTGGAGTATGAGATTTCAGGACCATTCTTGTCATCACAGGTATCTGCATCTTCTCATAAGCTGGTAGCAGTGTCCTTGATTCGGCTACAAGTACACGTTGTCACTAATTACTACAGAGAGTATGCTTTAAATAATAAGCATTATTCGTTCAGCTTTATGTATAAATACTGTAATGTCCTCAGAGAAAAAAATTAGAGTGACTGACAGTTTATTATCATACTGATAAAGTCAAACAAAAGGATCATCATAGGACATTTGCATCTTAAAAAAAATAATTTTTTTTTAAAGCATTAAAAAAATAATAAATAACATATATATATATATATTGCTCTCAAGACTGCATTCAACACTGGATACAGCAATGGTTCTCAACCTTCCTAACAATTACTTCATTATCAAACTGATAAAGACAAATATATTCATAGGACCTCAGCTTATTTCAGTAAATAAGTGAAAGTATTGCTCCCCCTGATAACCTGCAGTATAGGATACAGTTTATGTTCAAACTAGGTTTGCTACCATCTTTGCCAGTTCACGACTGTTATGACTTGTAGACAGAGTGCAGATTGCTATCTCTCATATATGCACAAGGTATTAATTTTTCTAATGGACAAGGTAGTTGGTTAATTGTGGTTTACAGCAAGGCTGTGATATCTACACCTAAGGACAGCAAATCCCCTCAATAGTTGCCTATAACAACATGCTTGTCAGCGAGTAGCGAGTCTATTCTTTGTTCCCCCAGAACCTACTCAAGAGATGATTCATTTTATGAAATGTTTTTAATTGCCATATTTTGCTTTTTATCTACGTAAGACAGCATCCACCTGATGTGTGCCTAGATGCTTTTATTTCTGTAATTTAAATGTCAATTTCAGTATAATATAAGAAACTGCCAGCAGAAATGTCATCAGAGAAAAAAAATAGAGTGATTGACAGTTCATTATCATACTGTTTAAAGTCAAATTTAATCATCATCATATGACATTTCCTTTATTTAATGAAAAAATTTAACTGCTGAGCATCTGAAGCCGCGTGAACTCGGAGACGTGTAACAAAACAACGGTTCATGCCGATTTCTGGGCTCTGTCTTGGTTGTGACTGGTGTAGTGATCTTGACGTGCGACCGACGTTAGATTGTGTTAGATTCATTCGACAGTTTGTTTTGACTTGAAGAAATGTAACAACGTATTTATTAGCTGTAACGCATACTGTTCGTAGTGATATTAAATGTATTTATTATGTTGTGTTATATTTATATCTCAGCATTAGATTTAAGGTAGGAGCTAGACTGCCAGTAGTTATAACTCTTTACAATAAGCTAGACCATGCACTGTTTGTGCCGTTAGCACCTGTCGACGCACCTCTAGCCGCACTTGGCATGTGCCATGGCGTCTTTGGCATCGGGAGACAGCGGGCTGAGTTAGCGCTGTATGGGAGAGTGGTAGCGGCTCAGAGCTTATCATGAACGTGAAAAGGCGCATCTAAACGATTTTAAAGTTTGAAGCGACCTGGTTTCAGAATAAGGAGCGCTACCCCTCCTGAGGTGTTTCACCTTCTTGTGATAGTTTCTTTGATGATAAAGATTGTGTGTGTGTGTTGCAACCCGTGTTTGGCTTGGGTGTGTTTGTCAGCGGTGTTTTCCTGTCATTAGCCTACAGGTAACAGGGTAGCCACTGGAATCGAACCCTAGACATTTAGGTTCCTGACAATCTTCCATCTGATGTTTCCTGTGTACTTAAGACGCTTTTACTTCTACTTTACCTAAATTAATGCCATTTACTTTAAAAGTCAATTTGAAATAATACACGCACACCCATCTAGCAAAGAAAATGCAGATAGAAATCATTAGTCTTGTCCTCAGAGAAAAAAATTACAGTGACTGACAGTTCATTATCATGCTGTTTAATAAAATATGAAGAAATCACCACTGGACATTAAACAGTCAGTAGCTTCAGAGGCATAAAATCTTTAACGTGCTTATATATAAACACGCACCCCAATCCCCCTTTTCGTGAGAATCGAACCTTTAGAAAGCAGCGGCGAACTACTGAACACAACACCATTAGTCTTTCTACTGGATATTCATTTATCCACAAAATTATTTTAAATCTACACTAAAATTATAACACAAACAATTTCAAACAGTTCACATACCAGTTTCGGCAGTTTTCACGGCAGTATCAATAAGACCCTCACGACCACCCATAGCGTGGAAGTAAAATTCGGAAGGGGTCAGTCCGGCAAGGTAGGAGTTCTCCACAAAGCCTCTGGATTCAGGACCATAATCATCCTTGATGAAATGAGGCAGCGTGCGGTATCTGAAGCCGAAGGGGATTCGTTTACCTTCAACGTTCTGCTGCCCCACACAAGCAATAACCTGCAACAATCACAGCAGTATAGTGTTTAGACGTGCCCATGAAGGTATTAAGTTTTAATCTGCACTGATCAAAGTGGGAAAACAACTGAGAAGTTTGAGCCTGTCGCCCAGACGAACGCGAGTCCAATCCCCTAAAAATGTCACTAAACAGACTCGTCTAAGTGGCATGTTTCCGACACACACAGTTAATGTTGCTGGTTGCTTACACCTGCATAGCATATAGCAGGTCAGGATACGAACAGCATTTTGCAGCCCCAGTGAAAGGTTATGGGGGTTAGGAAATGAGCCGCCCAATAAAAAATTTTTTTGCCCCAGAGAATATATTTATTGCTTCACTCTGTGTTTACTGTACATATCATTATACATTATTCAGTGCTGGTCTATGTAGAAACAAATATTAAAAGCATTTTTCTGGAATTTCCATAGGCTCAAAGGCATTTTTGTCGCACAAAGGGTTAAATTAAAGAAACAGACAGAGGAGCATTTGTGAAAGTTTAAACAATTTAAAAAAAAAATTGAAACCTAGTTTAAAATTGTCAACTCTCACATATCAGTATTGATATATGAATCAGAAACAGATAAAACAAAACAGAAATGGACCAAAATCGAACGGTCACCAAAGGGAAGCTTAAGGAGGAAAACTAAAAAAAACAGCAATGAACCAACCTCTGACCAACAGATGATGGAGCTGAACAGAACAAGTATTACCTGAGAAATGTTAATCTTGGAGCCTTTAGATCCTGAGACGACCATAGCCTTGAAGTTGTTGAATTCTGAGAGTGACTGCTGGGCCTTGCTACCAGTCTTGTCTCTGGCAGCGTTCAGGATTCTGTTTACCTAAACAAGACGTGAACACATTTTCTTTTGAATGCAGGCAAAACACAGCACGTTAAACATAATTTTGAAATGTGAGAACAGTTTCCAATAATGAATAATTTTCCGTGCAAAAAAGGCACACATAATATAAATATATAAGGTACTGTCCAGTCCAAATGGAAACCAGTCATTTTCTGAATATCATGACACAAACCAAAACGAGCACATAGAACAGGCAATCCGTATGAAATCTGACACGTCTATTTCTATACACTGCACAATCTCACTGTTCCTATATGTCAGGCAATGTGTAAACCTTGGGGATATTCATTTGAATAAGCAACCAGGTATGATTTCATTAAAGACATCTGCCTCAGCATGCACCGAGGTTCACTGCTACAGAAATCACCCACTGACATTCAGCTCTATGGCCGCCCTTCTCTTTCCAGCTGGTGGCTTAAAGAATTCTGTAAGATATGCCTGTATATTTCTCCACCGTTTTTTTGGTCTGCGCCATGGTTTACACACACAAACACTGTTCATTGAAGCTCTATAAACTGCCTGGTTCTCAAAGGTGTACCTCAAGGGCATTTTCCAGTTCTTTATTCTGTTCATCGTATACTGCTTAATCCAACGCTTGTCTAAGCAGTTTCAGTTTGTTATATGCATCTCTCTATATGACCCTTTAACCTTAGCCTATTAATAATTAGCAGTTATTTAAATATTCATTCTCCATTGTATGATTTGCAATTGTAGAAAGAAGTATGATATACAGTATCACTAATGTTTGTTACCCCTAAGGACCTTGGTAACATGTGCAAGGATCATCTCTGTAATGTACTGGCTACTCAACTAATTCTAGCTTTAGCACTGCCCCCAGAAGAAGAAGAAAGAGCAATACTGCAATTTCAGGATGATAAATGTGAATATTTACTACGGGGCATTTCCAACAAATGAAAGAAGTGAGTATGTTCAGCTTCTGTTGATAATGTGGCTCTATAAACATTTACAATGTATAAATAATTACCAGCAATGCTACCACCTAGTGTTAGCGGCCAATGAGTAATGGATTTTTAACAGTTATTGCTTAAGCCACCCATAAAGAAATGAGCATAAGGATTAAGGGCCCCTATAGCTAATACAGTTGCATAGCCTTTGCAGGTCAGAATGTTTAAAAAAATTTTCCACAGACAAAAGGAAAAAGCGTCCAAACTGGGCACCTAAAAGCTCAGCATTCCAGCCGAGTGCCCCTCACCCATACAGAAAGAAAGAAGAAAGGAAAAAAAAAAGATACTGAAATTACCAGCCTCTATGGATAATAAAATCAACACAAGTAAACACTTACCTGGTTCTCAAAGGTCTGCCTCAAGGTGTTACCTGGGGTCGGTTCCAGTTCATCATTGTGGGCCTTCTCAATGACATCTATCACATCATTCTGAGGGATTAAAAAAAAACATTTATCAATTCACCGGCTTGCCCAATAAATATATTTTTCTGACAACTAACAATACCAAACCTGTAGTTCATCACACACACACCAGGGACAAATTGATAACGATATATCTAGAATATCTCTGCAATGGAACCTGCGAGTTCAAAGGAATAAAGACACAAAAATACATGGGGAAGGCAATTAAGAGAGTAAAGTTAACATGTGAAGGACATGAGTGAGCTGCACATAACAACAGACCGGACAACTTAGTGTGAGCTGGCCGAGGGTTAATGACCAATGCTGCCAGAAAAGGGGAACTAGAACCTTGTATCTTCCCCAAAACTCAGTGAAAGAGAAAGATCACAAGAGGAAGATACTCACTTTGGCATTCCTGATAGTCTCCTGGATGTCCTGGTAAGTCTGCTGGTCGGCAATGGTGTCCCCAATACCAATACTGTGACCCTCCAGGAGCAGCCAGTTGTTGACCACAGTCTGGATGTTGCCGTAGAACTCGCCGGCAATTTCGTGACCCAGCTCCAAGAAGATAATGTGGACCAGAGAGCCAGCCGACGTACCCAGGGTCTTCTTACAGATGATACCACTGATGAGCTCGGCATCTTCGATAAGAACCTGTCACAGGCAAGAACAAAATTGTATTTCAATGAAATTAATCTAACAAAGAGTTAACATAGAGGAGGCGGAAATAAGCTAACCTCACTGCATAAACTCCCAGCTGCTATGCCAAGACATTTAAACAAACAATACACTGAATATGATATATAGTGTAACAAATAAATGACTACTTTATAAATAAAAATGTATATATATATATATATATATATATATATATATATATATATATATATATATATATATATAATATATATATATATATATATATATATAAAAGTAGGAGTGCCTAGGAAAAGCACAGCAACTATAAACTTGTCACCTATATTAAATTCTTAGGTTTTAATTTTAATGCTCATGCTGTGGATTGTTTTCAAAATTGACCAAGCACAATCTAATTAGAATGGGTACCATGTAATGTACAAAAATAAAGGTGACTATCACGACATTGACCGAGTGTTGACTGGTCTACACAAAATAAAGAGAAAGCCTGGCATCATAAGCACCACTGGCATACATAAAGAGCCATATACTTTTAAAGTAAATAGACATCAACCAGTTTCTGCCTTCAGTAAAGGCAGCAGCAACACAAAGACTAAACTGATACATCAGATTTCTACATATCCATCTTCTGATAAATCTTAGTTTGTTAGTCTTGTTTCACTTCCCTGTCTTCAACTCTTCTTCAGTTGTTGTTCTTATATGAATGTCAATCATGTCTTAATGCAGGCAAAATACTTTATGTTTATTAGATTAAAAAAAAATTCTTACATCTTTAGATTACATTTTCTTGTCTCTACTTCTATTCTGCCTCCGAGTGTCAGGTTTGAAGAGTCATCTTGTGATCTGGTTGGTATTTACTGCCTCAGAAATTGCATCAATCCACTGCTTACTTGGGTGGTTCCTAACCCGGATTCCGTTGCATCTACATGACAGGGCTCTCCATGATGCACTGCTTGTGGTAATCATCACACATGCTCGAGTATCTAAAGTGATGTAGTTTAGTTCTGTCCAAACTTGTCTCCAAATATTCTGGACCCTGCTTTTTCTTTCTGTGTTAGTATAATTAATAGACATTTCATTCATATTGTTTCTACTTTTCCTTTCGCTGTCGATATCTAAATTTAGCACAGGAAATGCAATGTCTGTTAAAAAAAATACGCCATAGAACCATTTGTTTTAGAGAATACACGCCTGATCACATACAGCATCAAATCGATTACGTTTAATAAACTATAAGAGTAACTTAAAAATTGTAAACTCACTCTTGTATCTCCGGGAGAGATCCATTTGTATGGACCACTGTCTTCAGCATCCGGATGGGTGGAGTGTGTCCGGACACAGTTGACTCTGCCAGGGATGATGAGAGAGAACAGTTGTTTCCCTGTCCACAGAGGCATTGGTTTTAGGATAGCTGGCTGTGGCATACGTCCATCCCAAGTGGGCAGAAACATCAGTAGCTTCATCATTTGGGCCTAAGAAAATAAGAAGAGATTACAAGATGTACAATCCGAACTGTCCAATGTAATGTTGAACCTGCGCATGTAGGAAAAGTCACTGCAGCAACGATCCCGTTTGGTAGCATTCTTTTTTAAAAAGGATTTTTCAATACATTTCTATCAAGTGGTGTACATAATTGTATGGCAGCATAAAGGTTTAGAGTGACATCTTCAAGTAAGACTGCATCTGCCTAATAGATTAGGAAACAACAGAACAGGCTGCAGTTCTGTAAAACAGAATTGGAAGCAAAACTCAGGTTGTAAAAAAAAAGCCGAAGTTAAGGGACATCTAACCATGGCTGCTTCTGTAAAAGTTTGTAGGACAAAACCTCAAACCCAAAAACCAAAACAAACAACTATAAATGGATGGGAGTAAATGAAAAATGCAAGCAAAAACAACAGGGGGACAATTGTAGGTAAAAGCCATAACCCTGTCTATAAAAACATCCCTTTTGGTCATCTTTCTCACGGCACACAGCGTATCCTGCACAATACCCATGACAGGCCGGTTGGCCTGGGGTGTGATGATCATACGTGGGACACATGCCAGGTTGTAGATCTCAGCTCTGGTCTCCAGAGATTGGGGCAGATGCAGATTCATCTCGTCACCATCAAAGTCAGCATTGTAAGGTGTTGTCACACTGGGGACAAGAAATTGCAAGATGTATACATGGATACAACCAAGATGTTTAGAAAGGGGTAACGGCTCGATGATAAATTATCACAAACATCAAAAAGAGACGGTTGTCATGTCAGAAAGAAACTGGAACATGTGACCACAGGAAAGACCAGGACAATTATTGACAGCGTTTTCTTTATGCTATGGCACAAGGGGGCGGCAACATACAAAGTGATACATTCTGTTGAAGACTGTAGATTGTGGGGTAGCATGACCATTCGTGCCAGTCAGCAAGGTATTTTTGATGACGATGTTACACGGATGTCACTAAAATGAATATTCAACAGTGAATGTCAGAAAATGACAGCGGGAATTACACGTAAACTTGAGACGTTTCAAAATAAATGTTTAGGGAGAATTCTACAAATATATTGGCCAAACAACACAGATCACACATGCGAAGGAAAAACTGAGGGAGGAAAAAAAACAGGAATGTGCATCACTGGCAAACTGTTATCGAAAGTAAGGACGAGATGGGAAGATGGCTTGGACATGTTTTGCAAAATGCCCTTTGTGACACTGGCAAAAAAACAAAACCACAGCAGATGGGGGAAAATAAAGGGTAGGGACACGTGGAACGGGGACCTTTAAGAAACCTGAAAGACTGAAGAAGGGGACAAACAGAAAAAGGGAAATGAAGGGGAATGTAAACTGAAATGGGGATACCACACAGGTAGAAAAAAAAAGCAACAAATGTAATGTAGATGTGAATGCCTTTATATGTCAACAGTGACATGGAAGAGGGATAGGGAGATTAGATGGGCACAAAACGGGGGGCGGGCAACAAAAAAACAAAGTGATATACATTGCTGCTGTTGAAAGAGTTGGGTGCAGATTGGCCAGTCAGGCAAGGGTATTTGATAATGATGGTACAAGGATGACAACAAAAAAAATGAAGTTTATTTTATCCTAAAAATTTGGGGCAAGTGTTTTTTCATGTTTCAAAACTAAAATCATAAACAAAAGTGCCAAGTTTTAACCAAAAAAAAAATTATCTGCTCTCGTGGCTCCCAAATTCAGATGCAACTGATCAAATGTTCTTTTCTTGTGATGTCTAAACAATATGAATGCTTAGTATACTTAAGTGTTTAAATTCCTAGTACAAAGTGGGTGTGTTTTGGGAAACAGGCCAAGTAGGGCAGACGGGAGGACTTAAAAAGTTGAAAAGAAAAAAAAAAGTACAAAAGTTACAAAGGTGTTTTGAAAACAGCCCAGTAAGGGCAGAGACTAAAAGTGAAAAAGAAAAAGGGAAAGTACCAAAGTGGTTTGGGGAAGAAACCAGGCCAAGTAGGGGCAGAGGGGAGAGCACTAAAGTGAAAAAAGGGAAAAAAGAAGTTACAAAAGGGGTGTTTGGTTTTGGACACAGCCAGTAGGGCAGACAGGGGAGGAACTAAAAAGTGAAAAAAGGAAAAAAAGAAAGTACAAAAAGTGTGTTTGGGGAAAAAACAGCCAGTAGGGCCAGCAAGGAGGGGGGTGACTCTTAAAAAGTGAAAAGGGAAAAAAGAAGTTACAAAAAAGTGTTTTTTTGGAAACAGGCCAAAGTAAGGGGCAGAGGAGGTGGGAAAGTGTGCCCTAAAAAGTGAAAAGAAAAGGGAAGTTCTACAAAGTAGTTGTTTTGGAAAAACAGCCCAGTAGGGCAGAGGGGGACTAAACGTGAAAAAGAAAAAAGGAAGTACAAAAAAAAGGTGTTTGGGGAACAAAACAGCCCAGTTTAGGGCAGAGAGTGACTAAAGTTGAAAAAGGGAAAAAAAAGAAAAAGAAAAGTACAAAGTGGTGTTTGGGAACAAACAGCCCAGTAGGGGGCAGAGGGACTAAAAAAGTGGAAAAGGAAAAAGGGCAAGTTAAGTACAAAAAAGTGGGGGTTTGGGAACAAGCCCAGGGTAGGGCAGAGGACTAAAGTGGAAAAGAAAAAAGGAAAGTTAACAAAAGTGTTTGGGAAAAAAACCAGGGCCAGTAGGGCAGGGAGGGAACTAAAAGTGTGAAAAAAGAAAAAAAAAAAGTAAACAAAGTGAAAACAGAAAGAGCCAGTAGGGCAGGGAGGGGGGGGGTGACTAAAGTGAAAAGAGAAAGGAGGTACACAGTGTTTGGAAAAAGCAGCCCCCCCAGTAGGGCAGAGAACTAAGGTGAAAAAAGAAAAAAGGAAGTACAAAGTTATTCAAAAGTTTTGGAAAACAGCCAGTAAGGGCAGAGACTAAAGTGAAAAGAGAAAAGGAAGTACAAAAAAGGGTTTGGGAAAAAAACAACAAGGGGCAGAGAGACTAAAAGTGAAAAAAAAGAAAAGAAAGTACAAAAAGTGTTTTGGGAAACAGCCAGTTAGGGGCAGAGGGGGGGGCTAAAAGGAAAAAGGTAGGAAAAAGAAGTACAAAAGTGTTTGGGGAAAACAAGCCAGTAGGGGGCAGAGACTAAAGTGAAAAGAAAAGAAGTCAAAAAAGTGTTTTGGAACAGCGGGGGGCCAGTAGGGCAGAGACTAAAGTGAAAAGAAAAGAAGTACAAAGTGTTTGGAACAGCCAGTAGGGCAGAGACTAAAGTGAAAAGAAAAGAAGTACAAAGTGTTTGGAACAGCCAGTAGGGCAGAGACTAAAGTGAAAAGAAAAGAAGTACAAAGTGTTTGGAACAGCCAGTAGGGCAGAGACTAAAGTGAAAAGAAAAGAAGTACAAAGTGTTTGGAACAGCCAGTAAGGCAGAGACTAAAGTGAAAAGAAAAGAAAAAAACTATACCTCAAATTAAGCCGGAAGGTAGACCATGGCAAGACCTTGACTCTGTGACACATCATACTCATCTTGTGAAGTGTAGGTTGTCGGTTGAACACCACCACATCATTGTCCACCATGTGTCTCTCCACCTGTACACGAATGAACATTATATGTTTATATAATATACACATACCCACTTTCTCTCTAAAAAAAAAAAAATTCAATTGACACACAACAAAATCATTTGGATCAACAAATACACATTTCACAAAATTTCCCTTTAACAAAAAAAATATAAAAACTTAGCAATCACATGCAAAAACATTTAGAATGTCCTAACATTTTACCAGTCTAATTAATGATAAACTGTCTACCACAAGTTCCTTTGCATTCACCTGTTATAAATTCAGGTGGAAAAATTCTGGTTGTTTCTTCCAATCCACCTCTCGACTTCAGCCTCGTTCAAGGACTTTAGTAATGTAAGCACATCCATTTTAGATTTGGCTTATGTGTATGCAGACTGTTGGTTCCCTGGCCCCCGGAACCCACACAGGAATTTCACAAGCTTTGAGTGGGCACATCTACAATGACTACAATGTCAGCTATCAATAAAGCCCTAAGAAGATAAAAAATGAAGCATTCTGATTGGCACTGGGAGACATACAAAATATTAGAACTCACCTTGTAGCCGATCTGCAGATGTATGTCACTAGCTTTGGGGTGATAACGCAGGTCAATACGCTCACCATTGTCCCTCACAATGTACTTGGCACCAGGGTACTGATTTGCTCCCCTTCTCACCAAGTTCTGCATGCTATCAAAGACACAAGATGTTCATGCTATCAAAAATGAAGCTACAATAAGACAACATGCACATACCTGCTACACAACAAGAGATCTGAGTCATTTCAAAAAATTCTGCCTCAATGGAGCATAGGCCCTCAACAAATTCATATCCTTTCCCATCGCTTGTTCATCGTGTCTTCCCTTTCTTTTTATGTTCGCTCTCTTTTAATATAGAACTGAGTTCGCAACGACTAACTGACTATGTTAAATTTCTGGCATCACAGCAAATGAGCTTGGCCCATAATCGCTCAAACGCCTATGCCAGTGATTTCAGTCACAAACTGAGTCAGATACGCTGGATACTTCCAGTGAATGCAGCAGCCATAAAAAGTGTCCTCAGTCAGCAAAACACACATGATTTGATCTGGCAAAAACACATGGAACTGAATGTTTGCTTTATGTTCTATGTTAAAAGATAGGTGTTTGTGATAGCCACAAAGTATACAACAGCATGAGACAAATTCATATACAGCATTTTCATACATCAACCAATGTTCAACTTACATACTAGAAACTTACCGATCTATGTTAAACGGTGTGACCAACTCTGGGAACGTCATGTTCTGAGCAATGGTCCTGGGAACTCCGACTTGATCTACCCTCAAATTGGGATCTGGTGTGATGACAGTTCTGGCCGAGAAGTCCACTCGTTTACCCATAAGGTTACCACGAACTCTGCCCTCCTTGCCCTTCAGCCTCTGTTTCACAGATTTCAAGGGCCGACCCGATTTCTGGGTTGCCTGTACAAAGAATGACAAAAAGTGGTCACTGTAGTACTTGATTAAACTCTCAGGTTATTGTTACAAAATATAAAGAACACTAAAAGATGCCAGCTGACAGAAAATAATATGCCAGGGTTTCAAGTTTGTTACTAAAAAAAAAAAAAAAAGTAATTACGCCAGTCGGCACAGGCCGATTCTGCTTCACAACATCTGCAGTCTCCCAACATTTTGTATCATACTTGTCTGGAATCTTTCTAAACAATGACAAAGGGCTGTCAAAAGTCTTGCTTTTTCTGTAAATCTGACCAGCACATCTAACAATGAGGCTACCACGCACAGCACACTTGCGGGGTATCTTAATGTAAAACAATATAAGAAATGTGAAACAAATTGATTGCCCCGTGTGCTTTGCCAGCACTCAGATGTCCACTATCTTGTGTTCACTTACAATATCTATAGAGTAATTCAAAAACAGTCAAGATAACAAAGAATTTGCCATGTGCGTGCAACCCAGAACTACCAGCACCATATCCATTACAGCTGCTATTTAACTGCTGCAAAAGCACATTCAGTCTATAACACTGCTGACTGTCACTAATACTATATTCACAGTAGTGTAACATACATTAGAATATCAACATCAACTAAAAACTGAAATCAGTAATATCTACACAGCTGCTGCTTTAGCTAAGCGTGGATAACCGACCAGAGAACTAATTATAATGTGAATCAATAAATACCTTTGGAAGGCCTGGCAACTCATTATCCACCAGGGTGGCACAGTGATACTGCAGCATCTGTGTGTCTTCGAGGATAATGTGGGCTGCGGCACCATTCTGCTCATTCCTGCGCAGCTGGTTGTTTGCTTTGACGATATCCGAGAGCTTGTGTGTCAAGTCATCCTGAACCACAGACGAACATACAAGTCAGTAACTACTTTAACATATCAATATAGCTAACTTAGAGACCTTTTTTATTTTGTCATTCTTGCTAAGCATCTTAGCTACATGCTTAAAAAAAAAGTATGAAAAGTGTATTCTGTAATCATCAAATGCTGTAATATGTTCCCCATCTCTATAAATTATATTTTTTCTTTGCAAGTTATTAGCTTTGGACACTGTTATTAGTTTCAAACCCCCCCCCCCCCCCCCCCCCCCCACCGTGTGGGAAAAGTGATTAACTGGTATCTTATCCTCAAATAACGTAACATAAAACTTTATTTGGTAAGAATCACATTAGGCCAAGCAACTCCCCAGGAATTATAAGTTCCCTTGTATGTCAGAAATTAATTTCTTGTGCTCCAGCCAGCCTCAATGTTGATTCAAATCTTTTCATAAAGAGTTTAGGCAAACACGTCAAGAAGTGAAAAATGGAACTGACTGAATGCTGCATTGCATAACACTTGACGTTAAATTATTTTCACAATCCACGTTTAAATAGTGTATGTTATTACGCTCAGGTCACACCCATTAGCGCTCTTTATTTCAGGAAGGAGGAATAGTATTAATTGTTACCATTTAAAAATCTGAGCATATATTCTTTTTTTTTTTGTTGCTAGGACACTTAAAGAAGATAAACCTAAGCAAAATTAATAATAATAATAATAATAAAATAAAAATTTTATACACACACACACTGGCCGGCCCACGGAAGAGATGTCATTTCATAAACCCTGACTCGGACTAGAGATAAAACCTGATGAACTTACCTGATTCCTGGCACTGCCAAACATAACCACGGCAGGTCGGACCGGAAGTGGAGGCACAGGAAACACTGTCACTATCATCCAGTCAGGCCGGGCGAACTTGGGGTCCATGCCCATCACGATACACTCCTCGTCTGTGATACGCTTGAAAATCTCTAGTACTCTCTCAGCTGAGACATTGATTTTACGCTCCTGTGACTCCTCATTGACGTGCTTCCACTCTGCAATCAGCTGCAAGCCAATCCTCTTCAGGTTTGGTTGGAACCGCCCACAACCACCATGACCCTGCAAACAAGGGTGGAAAAGCAACCATGTGTCAAGTGCCATCAGAACATGGTGCTCTGGAGAGAGCAGGGATGGGGGGGTGTTCAGTTTCCAGAAAATGAGGCAGAGGCCGACCTCTGCAAATGTGGATACAGCACAAAAATATGCAATGGCTGTTAAATCATACAGGGTTGGAAAAGGAGTTTTTTTTTCTTATAGGCGTGAAGAAAGTGGCATTCTGTAAAGGACATGCTGATGATGGCGATGAGAAAAAACAAGACAAAATTATCTTTCAAAATTTGTTAGAAACAAGTTTTGCTGAGGTGTAAAATTGTCAATAAACTGCCTTATTTTAATCTCTGAATTGTCAAAATTATAAACTGCCATCTCGTATAAAATCTTGGAGGGCAGAAACAGCCCCCCCCCCCAATAAGTTCATGCTGCTCTGTGAAAAGCCATCTAATCCCAATTACGAATGAAGACAGACTAATAAGGTAGATCCTAGATACACCCACCATTCAACCTCGTATGAAGTTATAATTATGCCACTAGCCAGATGAAACCAGCAGTCCAATCTCATATACGAACATGCTGACATAGATTCATTCATTATAGGGAGCATACAACAATAATTACACCCCCCCCCCCCCCAAAGTTCAATTATTTACCTTCTATCTCACATCACCCAAGGAAGCACACGGTTCTCAACAAACTCACGCAAAGTCCTATTTACTGTAACCATCTTCAGTTCCCCCATGTCTATAATTCTCTTCTCTGCGCATTTGTAGGTTTCCTCTCTCTTTTAACCCTGTGCAAGGAGAATCTAGGTTCACTGCCATCATGTTTTCTCAACTCACCCGGTGCCTTTTCATCATGCTCCATTGGGGGATAGAAAGGCAGAAGAAGAAAGGAAGAAGTGCCTCAGTAGTAGTCAGAGTGATCTAATGGTTTTATGCATCTGTTTACCAACAGCGCACCCTATGTACATTTCCAGCAGTGCACAGGACAAATACTCCCCCCACCCCCTTTGTGAAAACCAAATGAAGGAAAGGCAGGAAGATCTGTAAGGGAACTCAGAGCAAATTTACCTTGGTGACTTAACTCTTCAATGCCTGAGCAACGCTGTTAGTGGCGATTAAGAAGTTCTGATTTGCCTTTAAAAAAAACACTGTCAGCGTCGATCCTGTGTCCCGTAAATACTGTTTTCGTTTCTAATGTTCGGAACTACTTTTTCAGTATTCAGGGAGGGTTACGCTTACCTCTTTCTCTAAATAAAATTCCTAGTTCCAAGATAGGTTGGCACATTGTTCTGATTCATAGCTAGCAACAGGGCATTTTCTAAGTTCGTTTTCAAGCATGATGGATATATATATATGTTTCAACCACAAGTAGAGGCAGCAGAATGTGTCTTTCTACGGCCGAAGCTTTGAAATTGTTTCAATTATATGATGCTTAGTTCTGATAATAAATAATTAGATTTTTCAGAAAGCGATTTAGACGAATTTATGCAGCGACAGCTAGCATCTAGAATCTAGCAATTCTGATGAGCCTGACACAGACAGTGTTCACTGCTACCATTTTTAGGATGTAAGAGAAGAAAGCGCTCCAAACTATAGATACTACCATACAACGGCTAAGCTACATTTAAATCATTGCTGCTACAGTCTGTATATAACTATACAAAGTAAACATGTGTGCAATGGTCCATTTTTCTGCCGTTTTTTTCTTTGAAATTTTGTTCAGCACTCTGTTGGAACTTAGAGCCCCTGAGTGCTAAACTAACCTAGATACTTATCTTAAACTTTTGAATTTGTTTGGAAATTGGAACAAACTTTGAAGTGATATTCTGAAATTTTGATATTTACTGCTCTTGTGGCTGCAAAACATGGTAAGCGAAGAATTTTTTTGGGGAACATTTTACTGTTGTGAAATTAATACCTGCTGATTTTCTTTTATACTAACTATAACAGTATTAAACATACACTTATCATCAAATTCAAAATGTACATAAATTTCTATTTAAAAAAAATATATTCTTTTGTAGGGATTAGAAGCATATTAATTCTCTATTGCCTTTTTTGTGTGAACACCACCCCTACTAAAATTTTTGTTTAGAGAAATTAATGTGAGCCAAGTCTCAAAATCCATGGACCAAAAACAATATTTTAAAAACATGGCTATCTATGAAAACAAGCGATGGTGACAAATTATTAACTTACAAAATATTTATAACATCCAAATCAGAAAGGCTATCACGTCGACAAACGCTAGAAGTCAACCAAAAGGTACAAACATCTTAGTTCTTGTTCAATATCACTTACAAAAATACTGGGCCCAAAATCTCACTATAATTCCACACACACTTCACCTACCTTTTGACCGTCTTCCGGACGATCGCCGTTCTCCTCTCCCATGTCATCCTTCTTTTTTTCCATTTCATCGCCTCCCTCACATATTTTTCGGCCCTTACACAAATTATACACGTGTGCCAGACGTTTCTGTGGGTAACCCTTGGACTTGCTGATTACGTCTTTCATTTTTGGGTGAGCCTGAGAGAGCAGATTTGTTAAATGCCATTAGAAATTTACATTAGGATACTCTGCATGTAAACTACACAAGGCAAAACAGACGGAATCTGGTAGTAATACTGCAGATACTGCAAAGGGAAAGATAATAATAAGCTTTATAGAGATGGTAGACAGCCCCAAACAAATGACTCATACACAATATCGCCAACGCTGCAGTCGCATGAGGAAGGTAGTAATAAAATAACAGTAAATAGAAAGTAAAATCAGGCCATCTACAAGACCATACACTGACATTTTTTTTAGAAGGCAAGAAAATGTAAGGCTGCCTGTTAACTGTAAAAATAGGGAACTTACAGACAGTAGTACACAAACATGCAGATGAACCATAAAGAAAAACCAAACTATTAATCTCACTGCTAAATTTGTAAGAAAACAGAACTAACAAAGAAAAACACACGATTACAAAAAAGTTCTTAGCTGACCTGGATTTCGTCGCACCATTATTGTTCTTGTGCAATAAAGTCCTGAAGAGATCTTTTCTGAACTTTCGACATAGTATGTGAATACAATATACTGGTATATAAAAGGATAGATAAATACCTCAACCGCAAGATTATATGATTTCAACAGGGCAGGAAAACACAACCGATCAGAGACTGGCGATCAAGTAAGATGGTGACAATGAAAGCATGCGCTGAACTCTACATGTCAAATAATGAATATTTTGTGACCAGGATGGTCAATTCTCAAGACAGGATTTCATGAAGGGATCATCAACTGAACTACAATTTAAAAACCACAAGTCCACACACAGCACAAAAACAAAACCTGGTTTACTGTAAGTAATGTGTCTTTGGCCCATTGGGCAAACAGTCCTTCTGCCCAACTGCTTGTATTAGTAAGCTAGTTAATTGGGTTATCAACAATGCACTCGGGACATGTCCATAGGTGCTCAGTATGAACCCTAACGTCCTATGGCTAATAGTACCAGTTTTGTGTCTGGTGCGCGTCTCGTTTTTTGCTATGCCGATCTTAATTCCTAAGTCTTGTCATTGATCTTAATTCCCAAGTCTGTCATTCTGGCGAGTGATGTGGATTCACTGCCCCCAAAGTCCTCTATCCTTCCCATTTCTCTGAGGGCATTAACAATAGTTAACAATATCAGCATGATCCATAGGCTGACCGTCGGTAATGATAGTGAATCGTGCCAACCTATCAGCTCTTTTATTTCCATCGACGTTTGCGTGTCCTGGAACAAAAATAAAGGTGACTCCACGCAAGGAATTCTGCAATGATTCAGGCCACTGTCTTTGCACTGAACCTGCCTGAACTCTCCGGATCATACTCATTGAATCATTAAGTATATATATGCGGGCGTAGTTTGGTGTTTCAATCCAGGCAAAAGCTTGTGTCACTGCCATCACTGCTCGTATATACGACTCTTGCGATGTAAGTCTGGGGAAATAGGGCCGCACGGGCACTGCTGTTGCCACAGACTGTGCATGAAAAAATCCCAAAGCCTTACAGAGGATTCAAACCTGGGTCTCCTTCAGAGCCCAGTACACCTGTATCTTTACAGACCGATCAGCACTCAAAAGGTGATTTGGTTAAAATAACACAGGCCACCTTACTCCGTACACATTTTAGGCTCTGCCGACCAGAAGGAAAATATCAGTTTAAAAAAAAAAGTTTGGTGGACAACTGAATGTTTCAGGTCAGAAAACGAGCTTCTAGCCGCTAAGCAACAGTGACCCCAAAACTAGTTTTTTTTTTTTTTATACAGTCAAAACACAACAAGTACATACAGGATCCATCATCAGCTTGGAACAGAAGAAGCAAACACATCTGAGAATCTTGACAATTTTCGTCAGGAAGGCCACATGGAACACTGGTTTGGCCAGTTCGATGTGTCCAAAGTGACCCGGGCATTCAGTCATGTTTCCAGCACAAGTCTGGCACCTGGATGCCCGGTCGACAACTCCCTGCCTTGGATCCATCAAGCCACCCAGTTTAGGCCGCCCACCCTCCATCGTCTCCGGATATTTGATACCCCCATTATCAGTCACTGACATGCGACGCTGAAATGCAAAAGAAAATTCATAAATTAACATATATTTTTGTTAATGTTTCTAAATTTATCTCACAATATATAGATCTGTAACCAGGCTACGTTGAAGCTACATAATCAGGGATCGCTTATGTAAGAATTGGTTAATACATTGTGATGTGGTTTATAAACAGGCTGCAATATCTACACCTTTCTGCCCAAAACAGAGACTGGACCCAGACCGGTCTTTTAGTAAGCTGATGCTTATGCTACCTTAAATAAATATAAATATATTCTCCATGTGGGTTGTTTTTGTGTGTGTGGACACTGCCTCCCTAACAAACATGTTATAAAAGGCGACTAATTGGATACATTTTTTTCGAGAAAAACTAAACTGTGAGAAAAAGCGTGTCCTTTGTAATAAATTCTGTAAAAAGCTGGAAAAATTCTGTAGATAACAGAAACAAGATACCTTATTATTAGCAAAGGAAAGGGCGAAATTAGAGGTAAGTAGTAAAACCAAAAGCTGACAGAAGCAGCCTACAAACATGTATAGTGCTATCGTCTTTTTCCCACACACCGATTTCCCTACGCTGCTACGCTCTTTTATTTCTTGACCCCCATCTATGGACGTCCTAAGCCGTTTTTGGACTTTTCTTACAGATTTCTGTTACCTCGTATTTTACAATATACATTAGCTATATTTAGATAAAACTGACCCATTTACATATGATTAAAAGCAACGTACTTTTAGGAATTGTTTACTGCATTTTGCGTTATCACGTTGCTTTGTTTACCGTGACAGCGTGGTCGGTGATCTGTGTATTTGTGCCCTGAATATATTTGTGCTTTTAGATTATTCTCATTAGACAAAATGGCAAGAAAACTTGTTAAAGTTGATGATATAATTGCGGGAGTTTCTGTCAGTTTGCGTGTTTTGAAATCTTCTGACAGTGAACAAAAGCTTTGTAGGCACTGCCATCGACTGCTCGTGTCCATAAAAAGCGACTCTTGCGATGTCGGAATCAAGAGCAGTCAATGAAGCGGCATCAAAACGGCAATAAATTGATCAGTTGCCTTGCAACCGATGATTTGAACTGTGCATGATTTTGATGACTCCAGCTCTATCTATATTTCTGCTACTGTAAAAAAACAGTTAAGTCCTAAAGCCTCTTTCATGAGGATTCAAACTAATTTTTTTTTTCTGGTCTCCTTCAGAGCTAATGCTTAGAACAAAGAAACTCTGTATCTTTAGCAAAGACCGATCAGCACTCCCGTAAAATAATGTTGATTTTTTACTATTGTTGTTCAAAATAACAACAGGCCACAGGCGGCGATAGACTCCGTACACATTATTTTAGGCTCTGCGCAATGCACCAGAAGGAACGTTCGCCTAATCAGTTTGTTCAACCCCCGAAAAGCAACGGTTTTTATTATTATGATTATATTTTTTCTTTATTTTAATAACATGAATCGGAGGGTTGTGTCAACCCCATTTTCCTTTTTTTTTTTTTTAAATTAATGTAATTCCTGTTACTTTTTTCAGCAAAAGTTTTTTTTTTTTATTATTATTTTGGTGGACAACTGAATGTTTCAGGTCAGAAATACGACTGGAAACAGTTCCTATTAATTCCGCCATAAGCAACCCCCCCCCCCCCGAAATAGCTAGTTTTTTTTTTCGTGCCTCTGACTTGTCACCACTCGGAAAACCACAACAACTCCATACAAATTTTTAGGATACATCATCAGCTTGGAACAGCGTTTAGAGGAAGCAAAGTATTGCACATCTGAGAATCTTTTTTTTCACATTTTAGTCAGGGAGGCCACATGGAACAGCTGGTTTGGCCAAAAATTTCGAATGTGTCTCAAAGGTACCCGACCCGGGCATTCAGGGCTTAAAATGCCAAACTGTTTCTTGAGCACAAGTCTAGCCGGCAACAACCGTCATGGTTCAGTAAGGCCGACTGTGAGCAATGCTCACGCCTGTCACAGGTAAACTCCCACTTATCCCTAGCCTTGGATTCTGCATCAATGAGAGCCACAAACAAATGTCAAAGCAATTAATTTTAGGCCTGCAAAAGCTGCAAGTTTCCCACACATTCCATTTCTGACCAGCTACGGAATGATTTACAAAAAAATACCCCCGATTATCAGTCACTGAACATGCGACGCTGAACATGCAAAAGACCATAATTCATAAATTAACAAAAAACTTATATTTTTGTTAATGTTATCTTTGTAAAATTTATCTCACAATATATAGATCTGTAACCAGGCTAACGTTGAAGCTACATTCCATCAGGGATCGCTTATGTAAGAATAAGAAGAACCATTTAATACATTGTGATGTGGTTTATAAGACAGGTGAATTTCAGGTGCAATATCTTTTACACTAGCAAGGATTTTGCTGCCCATTTTCCCCCCTAACAGAGACTTTTACCAGACAATGTATTTTAGTGTCAGCTTGATGCTTATGCTACCCTTAAATAAATATTTTAAAAATAAATCTCCATGTGGGTTTAAACATGTGTGTGTGGCGGCCCACTATCCTCCCTAACAAACACGCCGCGTGTTATAAACTAGGCGGACTAATTGGATACGGAAGCTTTGGGTTAGCCATCTAGAGAAAAACTCGTGGCGGTGGTCGCCAGAAAACCGCAACGCCAGAAAGTGTGAGAAAAATCTTTACCGACGTGTAGCCAAAAAATGTTTTTAACTAACATTCTATGTGTTAAAAATGCTGTTTTGGATAAAACTAAATTGTTGTGCGAATAATTGCCAGGACTCAGAAGCCATGCCTTTTTTGCTGGTTTATTGATGCATTGGAGCAGTCAGAGTTTATCACCACATGGGCTTAAAATTTGTATCACATTTTTTTAGTTCTTCTTTTGTCAAAATCTGCTTGTGCCGCTAGGCGTCGCAGTCTATCAGATGATCGGCAACCGAGCCAGGGCGCGCTCAGTCGCTTCATATGCCGTGATGTTATGAAGTCTCAAGTTGTCCGTGACTCCTTCAATCCATCTTCTCCTTGGTCTTCCCCTGCCTCTTGGTGTTTCGATTTTCATGTTGTATGCTCTTGATGCTGGCATCGTTTGGTTCCATTCTCATTAGGTGACCAAGTAAACAAAAAATACATACCATTTTCTTTCGGGCTTAAAATGCTTCTCAATAAATTTTTCTTGACCGATGGGTATGGTTCTAATAGTTCTTGTTCAGTCACACGTTTCTCACTCGATCTCTTCTGGTTTTATTCGCAGCCATTCTCAAACATCTCATTTCACAGGTGGTTAGTCTTCTCTCGTGTTCTTTTGTTAATGTCCAAGTCTGACATTGATAACCTAATGTCGGTATAAAGATTGTATTTATAATTTTTATTAGTTACTGTACATTATTCATGATGATATTACTATCGTGTACCAGATGCTGTAACTGTAAAGAAATGAGTGATCTATAAATACACTGGCAATGTCAATCTATGTGAGAATAAGACATAACATTCTAAGGGCTCAAGTAAGTGTACGGCTATCAGTATATATCATTATTATCAGCATGTACTCCCTACATTTTGATTTTCAACGTCAACAGTTCAACAGCATAGAAAAAAAAACCTGCTTTCAGCTTTCGTGACAAAGTGTATTTAGACTTAATTCAAAATGTTCTTTCTTCGATCATAGGCAAATTTATTTGCATACAAACAATGCATGACACTCAAAATACATTGTTAGAAAATCAAAAGTGACAATGTAGTAGTACTAGTAGTGTAGTAATTTAGTAGGGTCGGGTAGTAGTACTAGTAGTTTTCTGTTTTGGGGAGTAAAAATGCATTTCAGCAAAATCTTTGCAAGAACTAACTAAATTGATTATTTCTTGGTTACCTTACGAAATTACCACATTTTATGGTTATGTTGTCCAATTAATTATTAAATCTTCCCGAGATGTAAATGTTTGTCAAAGCAGACAAAACACAGTCAATCAAAGAGGGAGATCGCCGTCATGTAATCGTTTAGAAACTCTAAGAAACCGACACAGGTCGCACTAACTTCGCAGTTGTATTGGATTGAAATTCAGTTCGCCTTTGGAAAACAAGCTTATCGAATATTATCATCTATAAAAATAAAACACAGGCTAACCGTGACGGAATGATGACACTCGCTGGATAGTCCAGGTGAAATGTAATTTATTGAGGTGTACACAATGTAAACAAATGTCAACAGTAAACGGTTTTATGCGACGAAAGTTAGGACACAATTCCGCCAACTTTCTGTCCCTAGACACAATGTCTGACTGAGGTTTCCGGTGGGCTGCTGGGACATTTATGGACCTACGGGGTCCCCACCTTTCAGTTCACGGACCGTCATGTATTTGCCACGCTTGACATTGCGTTTATTTATTTGGTTTGTGTCTAAAAGCTTGCAAAATAAAGTTATTACAGTCATGGCTAATATATTTTAATGAGATATAAAAATAGTTGTGCAATTAAATAATCAAAATATTCTTACAATTTTCTCAAGAGGGATACATGTTTGTTTTAAATATATTGTTTGACTCTCGTGATAACAATCCTGGCCAACATGTTTGCCTCACATCTAAAAATAGAACTCTGGTAGAAACAACTACAGATATCTATTAGTTTTAGGGTCGTGGGATTTTTTTTTTTTTTTGTCTCTACGTTTGAGCTCACATATGCTAGTATATAATATGTCTGCGAAAATCTGAACAGTTTTAACGATATACTGTTTAGACTCTAGCGTATATAAGTCAGCATGACATCTCCCTCACCCCAAGAAATTTTCCACCGTGCTGAAGTCAATCACGTGACATGAATTGCGTGACGTTTATATCTGCCCTTACAGAACCTCTAATTAATTTTTTTACAGTCATTCCCTTGTGGAATAAAATTTTTTGGTTATTCCGAAGCCTTACCCTGGCCCTTGCCAGGGGCTGTAGTATAGCCCGGTCATATATATATTTGGCCTAATGGCTGGACGCGGTTTCCGGGACCTCTCCCCGGGTGATCCTTCCACGTTGTGG